GGGGTCCTGGGATCGAGTCCTTCATCGGGCTCCCCGCAGGGAGCCTGCTTCTCCCTCTGCCTGGGTCTCTGCCTCTCTCTCTGAGTCTCTCATGAATAAATTTTAAAAATCCTTTAAAAAAATAGAATTTTGCTGCTGATTTGTTAGAAATAACTTTGGCTAAAAAAAATTTGAAAATGTTGAAAAAATGAAAGTATGAGGAGGGAATCTTGATGACTCTACTACTACATCAAAACCTTCTGCTAGGGATCCCTGGGTGGCTCAGTGGTTTAGCGTCTGCCTGTGGCCCAGGGCGTGATCCTGGAGACCCGGGATGGAGTTCCACGTCGGGCTCCCTGCACGGAGCCTGCTTCTCCTTCTGCCTGTGTCTCTGCCTCTCTCTCTCTCTGTGTGTCTCTCATGAATAAATAAATAAAATCTTAAAAAAAAAACACCTTCTGCTAAGTAGCTAAGGGCATCTCTTGAAATGCATAGGTAAACCCAATGAAATAGAACCGTAATTATACATATTTTGTATCTTCTTTTTAAACTTAATATTTTTAATTCTGTGCCCTGCACATCTTCCCATGTTAGCAGCTACATATCTCCACAATCGTTCTAACAGCTACATCATACTGCACTGTACAAATATATCAGCCTTTTAATCTCTTAATCGATGAAAATCTGGGTCGTTTCCAGTATTTTACTATGACGAGCTAGGCCGCAGTGAACACGATCTCGACACACGCCTCTACAGACACGTCCAACTTGTTAGGATAAATTCCTGTAGTGGGATTTGTGAGTCAAAGGAGAGCCATATTTTAAACTTAAAGACACTGTCTATTCTCCAGAACAGAAGCAACTGTATGCTCCCAACAATAGTCTCCGAGTGCCCATTTCCTGTATCACTAATGAGGTGAACGACCCTTTCCCCGAGTTTGCCTGCCATCTGCATCTATTCTTGTATGGATTATCAATTCATTTCCATGTCTCTTGTGGGGGGTGTTCCCCATTTACTAGTTAGTTTGAAGAACATTCTTTTTTAAAGAAACTTGATTTTTGTTACCACAGATCTTTCTCTACTTTTTCTATTTTGCTCTTTCTTTGATAGTTTGGGTTTCTGAGCAATGATATAAGGGGCTACTCACCTCTCAAGACTATCAAAAGGTATTCATACATCAGATTTTTGTTTTATACAATTTTGTTATTTTTAAAATTTTGAACTATCTCAAAGTCTATTGATGTTATATGTGAAGGAAGATGCTACTTTTTATTATTTTTTCCCAAATGGGTAGCCAGGTCTCTCTCTCTCTCTTTCTCTCTTTTTAAGATTTTATTTATTTATTCATGAGACACAGAGAGAGAGAGGCAGAGACACCGGCAGAGGCAGAAGCAGGCCCCATGCAGGGAACCCGATGTGGGACTCGATCCCGGGACCCCGAGGTCACGCCCTGGGCTGAAGGCAGACGCTCAACCCCTGAGCCACCCAGGCGCCCAGTAGCCAGGTCTCTTAATAACTTTCTCCCCACTCAAAAGCCATATTTATCACCCCCCCCAAAGTGAGAAACATTTCTAGACTGTCTTGTTCCACTGAGCTTGGACTAATATTTTAGCAATTCTACCTTGGGAAAAAAATTTTCATAACTGTTGAGACTTCTTCCCACCTTTTCTTTTTTTTCCCTTTCTGAATTGTCTGGCTATTTGCCCACTTTTTTTTTTTTTCCACAAAAGAAGCTTTAGAAACATTTTTTCAAGTTTCTAAAAAGCCCTATTGAGATTTTGATATGAATTACTTTTTGAATTTCCAGAGTATGAGGGGAAAATCTGTACGTGAACCTGACCAAGCTATCTTTGAGTATTACATCCCCCGGGAGTTCTGCAATTCTTTTTGAGGATCCTATATGTTTCCTGTAAATTTGGTCACTTATATTTCACTACTTTTTAAATTGGTAATAGTACTTCTATTGTGAATAGATCATTCTTCCATTTTATTTTCTAACTGATCAACAGGTTTATATTAATCTTTGTATATTTGTTGTCCAATTAGCTACCTTTCTGAACTTAGTAGTCTTTCCATTTGTTCTCTTGCATTCTCTGGGTCTTGCACTGGAGATGATTCTTGTGTACGCTCCCTTCCAAGATCTGTGTGACTTTAAAATTTTTTTAAAGGATATGTCTTATTACTAGTAGTTTCCATTAATTTAGTACAGACCCAATAAAAACTATCAGTAAATAAACTCAGCTCTTTGGGTTAGTTCAGGAAATCTTCTCAAGTCTTCTTTTTCTGTTTTCTTTGGGATGGCACATGTATAATTCAATTTTTTTTCTTTTTCTTTCGTTTGCTATATCTTGATTTTTTCTCATCTTTTTCTTTTCTTTCTTTCTTTCTTTCTTTCTCTCTCTCTTTCTTTCTTTTTCTTTCTTTCTTTCTTTTCTTTCTTCTTTCTTTTTTTTTGTGATCAAATTTATCCATATGACCTATCAAGTTTTCAGTCGTGTCACTTGCGCTGACTCGTTCCTCCTACAGGAATTTTATTTTGGGGTTTCCTTTTATTTTTTTTCGTATTTCAGGATACTCCTTTTGATTTCTTCTCTTTTTCTCAATTTATTCCTTCTTTAGGGCTAATTAAGATGAAAGTAATAATTTAAACACTTGTTTGTGCAAGCCAGAGCACTACATACTCCACAGACTTTAACTCGCTTACTTCCTACAAATGCTTGAGGTAGATACCAGTTCCATGTTATGTGTGAGGAAATGGAAACTCCAGATGACTAGGTAATTTGCCCAGGACTCTACTCTGGTCAGGAGGAGAGCCAGGACTTAAAGCCAGGTCTTCTTATCCCTTAACTCATTCTTTTACCAACCCTACGAGAGGGTTTCACATGCCCTCGGGCCTCCTCCCTGTTCAAAGAGGAGTCCAGTTCCTTTCGAATCTGTATCTGGAATGAGGTGGCCTCCTCAGTGCCTGTGTCCATTCCAGTGCCTGCTGGACTAAGGTGGGAGCACCTTCTGCTCCAGGTCTCAGGTGATCTACCATTGCTACAGTCGGACCAATGATCCTTGTACAAGTGCTATACACTCTCCAGTATTTGCTACAATCTAGGGATCCCCCACTCTCCATCCAACCATCCATCCTCTATCTATTTGCAAAACTTCTTTGTGGTGACTGGTATATCCAGGGATGCAAAGTCCCCCTCACTCCTGAATCTGTAGTTGTGCCAAAAATTCAAATTTGTAGTTTCTAGAATGCCTTGTGTAGAGAAAGGGGCTGAGGAATGCTGTTAGGGGGGGGGGGGGTTGGGCACAGATCTCAATTCTAGCTGCAGCTCCAATGATGTCCGGGCAACAGGGACTTGGTTTTCCAGGTGTTGTAGCTTCTGTGCCCTGAGTTGGGGATTGAGTTGGCTTTTTCGTAACTTCTATCCAGCTAGTTTAGATCAGTGAACAAAAGGATGGACTCTAGAACTAATGTAAATTCCCGGAGGATTTCGGCACCGGGTTTCCTATTTGGTTTGTAGTACTGTTACAATCTTCGTGGGTGTTTATGCATGAAGCTCAGGAAGGATAAGCAGGGATTGCCAACCTCTGGCATGTGTAACACATTTAACAAGGATTTGTATCACACAGTAGGTTTGGAATTTAGAGTCACTTTTTTTTTTTTTAATATTTTACTTGAGAGACAGAGTGAGCGAGTGAGAGAAAAATAAGAGACAGCACAAGCCAGAAGAGGGAGACAGAGAGGGAGTAGACTTCACACTGAGCAGGGAGCCTGATGTGGGGCTCTACCCCAGGACCCTGGGATCATGACCTGAGCCAAAGGCAGACATTTAACTGACTAAGCCCCCAGGTTCCCCCTGGACTCATTCTTTAAAGAGCACATATGGGCTGTCACCATCAATGCCTCAGTCTGACTCTAGACCAAAGTGTATCTGGATTCCTTTTTTAAAATTTTTTTAACATTGTCTTTTTATTTATTCATGAGAGACACACACACACACAGAGAGAGAGGCAGAGACGCAGGCAGAGGGAGAAGCAGGCTCCATGCAGGGAGCCCGACGTGGGACTCGATCCCGGGACTCCAGGATCACACTCTGGGGCAAAGGCAGACACTCAACATCTGAGTCACCCAGGCGCCCCTAGATTCCTTTTCATGATATAACATTTCTGGGCTCTTTTCATGGATGTAGGAAGTTCCCAAAATATGAGCTATTCCTAAAGCCCTATGGTTTAGTCCAATTAGCCTAAGACAATTTTCAAATGATTTATTTTTTAAAAATTCATTATACTAAAAAAATGGTACTGTTGCAAAAGAATTAAGGTTTCAGCTGAGGTGTTTTCCTGTCTGTGAGATGTGGCTGAGGAGGCAGAGAGAGCCAGGTCAAAGCGACCCAGTAGGTTTTGCTATTCTTGAGCAATATCTTGGACAGAAAAAAAGCTCTTGACACTGAGAATTGTGGAAGCCCCTTGGCACACGCAGAATTTCTCACTTCAGTAAAGCTAAGGACATTATAAAATGTTACCCACCCCTCCATTTTTTTTTTCCCCTTTTCAGAAGCACGCAAGTTATTTTGTACTTCCATAGCCAAAGCTACTCTGGATGGAGACAGCTAACAAATGCATCAAAAATATTAAATGTGTAATTGGAAATCCCAAGCTACAGTAAGGGCCCCTCATCCGTGTTCCTATGTCACCTTCTTGTGATGATTGGTTTTATGTATCAGCATAACGTCACCACATTTTGTTTACGTGTTTACAAAAAAACACTGGGTGATTTTAGGTACATTATCCTCAGTAATGCAAGTGGGCCTCAATCAGTGGGTTGAAAGCCTTCAGAATGGAAACTGAGGTTTCCTAGAGAAAGAATTCTGCAATATAAAAACCCTGCTGGCCCACCCTATAGATCTAGGCTTATCAGCCCCCATAACTGTATAAGAAAATGCCTTAAATCTCTTTATACATATGTGTGTGTGTTTGTACATATATGAGGCTATGCTCATATAAAGAAAAACAAGAACAAAAATAACAATCAAACTTTATTTCCTTGTACATAACATTGATTGACAGCAAGATTTCTAAATAATCATCCCTTTATTTAGTTTAGATAAAGACTTCCTGCACAGAACTCTGTTAGAACTTAACCATTAGGAACCATGTAAAAGAGATGTAAGGCACGTACCATATAATGACCAAATAGCAGCTTTAATTTTTCTACAGAATTTACTGCAAGTTACCACATAATGAAAACAAAAGCAGGTTACTCTAAATGTGTTGAATTTGTTTAGTAATTTAAATAAAAACATATGACTCCCATTATACAGATAATTTTAAATCTACTCTGAAAAACAAATCAAGAAATATCTATCGGGAGATGACATACCTATCCTAGCATACCAAAAATTAGGCTGTTCTCTTCACAGAATATATGGAGAATGAGTAACTATCAACATAGTGAATGTTTTAATATTTGGGGAAATATTGGAAACCTATTTGTTAAAAAACAAATTTCTCTGGATATTGTTTATCTCGTCCTTGTAGATCCAGATGAGATTAGTTTAGAAAAGCAGTCTTCTTGAGTCTAGAAAATCTTCAGTCCAGGACAGTTCTGGGCTAATCAAAGAATCTTTACAAACAGGCTTGGAAATCGCATAGTCTTATTTTAAATTCGCTTGCTTAGCCAAAGGTATGGAATTAATGATCAAGTACCAGGATTTTCTGTTAAAGCACCCAATGCCAAATCACTACTGACTGACATTCTACTTCCTACCATGATGAGTCTGATTAGAGGTAGATGGGAGGCATAAAGAATATGGTGAACTATAAAATACATTGTGCTCCAATGCCCAGATCTCTAAAGATAAATCTTGTTTTTTTTTTTTAATATAAGAAATTCACTAAATCAAATGAATGCTGATTACAGCAAAGGTAGTGTAAGTAAAACTGGGGGCAGGAGACCTCTAATTGCATTGGAAGTATATGAAAGAATGAATCATTCTAAGAGAAGAATCATTTTCCCAATAGCCCCACTGCTGTGGATGATATTTTCGTGAGCCTGGACCACCTTCTCCAGTGAATACTGAGGACCTATCACAGGTTTCAACCAACCGATTTCCATTCCAGCTTGAAGGGCCATTGCAAATTTCCTAAATTCCTCCTAAGTGGAAGAAAAAGGTCTTTTTGTTGAACATGTAAATTAATTTTCAGAAACATTAAAATTTTCAGATTCTAAGAGTTAGAACATAAACAGTTCCTTGCAAATACGTGGCTTTCGTCACTTATCCAGAACTACAGAAAAAGTGGTTTTCTACAGAGTAACCATAAGTCCAATTTGTGTGAGGCAGTGTCTGTTTACAAAAAAAGTACTGTCCTGAAATAACTTGTAATACTATCTCCTTTCTCTCTCAAGAGTGTCTTGACTCGAAAACAAAACAAAACAAAAGGGACACCCGGGTGGCTCAGTGGTTGAGCGTCTGCCTTCGGCTTAAGGCCTGATCCTGGATTCCCAGGATCGAGTCCCGCATCGGGCTCCCCGCATGAAGCCTGCTTCTCCCTCTGCCTGTGTCTCTCATGAATAAATAAATATATTCTTAAAAAAAAAAAAAAAAAAGAGTGGCTTGACTTGGAAAATAAATTACATCCTCACCCTCGTTATCGTGTAGTGACTAATCCTTAACGTACCCATCCACTCAGATACCTTATGTTTAACATCTACTTAAACTTTCCATCTGCCCGACTAGGCAAATTGTCTCCATGTTTCAGTTACCAAAATCAGACTCACTTCCTACCTTAGTTGATGAATAAAGAGCAGTTCCAATTATACTGGTTTCCTTTGGGATGGTGTCCCGTGGGTTTATTTCAATAGGACCTCTGCTGCCAACAACCTATTACGAAAAACAACTTGTCTATGGTGAAAGATTACTGCAAAATAGTGTTAAATTATGGTAAAGCCTCAAAGTGGTAGAAAGAAACCAAAATACTTACTATTACTCGTCCTCCATATGACAGAAGATCCAAATCATTACTAAGATTTACATTAGCTAGCATTTCAATGATCACATCAATGCCTTTTTCACCAACAGATTTCTATGTAATAAAAAAAAATGCAGAGTGAAGTAAGAAAACAAGGAAGAATCTGGTAAATAGTTATCATGGTCCCATATATTACAGAAACGTGTTTCAAGAGACATAAAATGCTACATTTTTAAGACGAATCATACACATTTTTAAGTGATCTAATTATATAGTGATGATGTAATTCCAAGGTACCAGTCACAACACCTAAAGTGTGATGAAGATTCATACTAAACAAATTTCAAGTGCTTCGACTCAATTTGACTATAAAATATTTTTTCCTTGGTTGAAATTTTTCTGTCTTCAGAATGTATTTTCGCAGAGAAACCAACAACAAATCCCAAATCCCAAAAAGGCTTCTACTTTTGTTAAGACTCAAAAAACAAAGAAGAAAATCATTGGCTGCTTGGTGTTGCAGCATTTTTTGGTGCACACTCAGTTTCGTCCCAAGGGGTTCCCACTCAGCGTGGTGTACTACTTCTGGGTTTTCAGAGACGTTGGTTTGCAACATCCAAAACTGGCTCTTAAATAAGGCACACATATCTACCTGCTACCTGTTATATTTTATGACAAAATGAATACCCGGGTCAGGCATTGTGAAGTACCGGGAATTCACAGGTGGACACGGGGACTCCAAACAAAACTAGGGAGGAGGAGGAGGGGAACAGCGCAGTCACAGCTGCGGGATGGGCTAATGTGGCGGTTAGAGGTCAGAGGAATTAGACTATAGGTTATAGGGAAAGATGGGGCTCTAACTCTGATCACCTGTAAGGAGCAGAGGAAGCTCCAGAGAGATGAGGACCTGGGCTCTGAGGAATGAACGGGAGATCCTTAAGCAAAAAGGAAGGAGGAGAAACAACCAGAAGTTACCCTGGAGGTGGAGTCCCTAAGGCAGAAGAAACAGAAAAGGGAAGAGTGAGGGGCTGGGAGTCCAAGTGGAGATTGGGGCTGAGGCTCCGTCTGGGAAGGGGGGGTGGGGAAGAAGAAGAGGAAGAGCGGTGAGGCAGCTGGTGTGGCCTGGGAGCGTGCAGCCAACGCTCTGCTAAAGGACAGACTTCTGGGGGGCAGGTGCTCGTTAATTAATTTTTGATGCTTTAGATGCGGGAGGTGCAGCAGGGAACAGGAGACAAAAATTCCTATCCTCATGCAGCTCCCATTTTAGTTATTGCTGAAGGCTTTTTTTTTTCTTCTTTTAAAGGAAACCCGGGAACTCTGGGGACTGAGGATAGAAGGGGTGTCATGTAGGTTATAAAGGGCAGCCAAAGCTGGAGAAGACGACGATTAAATAAGCCACAGCAGGGAAGGGAGCAAAAAGGGAGATGTATGTGAACGGCATGTCAGAGAGGACAGTGACACAGGGAGGTGTCCTAACGGGAAGGAGGAGAATGGGGGTTTAAGGGCAGGAGTAAAAAAAAAAAAACCGCAGGGGGGTCTCGGTGAGCAGATGCGACATCTGCAGGCTGATGGCATGAAGGAGGGGAACTCGGGCCACAGACGGTGCTGGGAACCAGCAGGATGTGGGCACGGACGGAGTCATGGGCATAGAGGAGACCCATCAGGAGGGCGGTCCAGCACCGGGGAAGGTTTGAGACTAAGGGGGAAAGGCTAAGGGATGGCAACATCCAAGTAACACCAGGAGGAAGGGGACTGAAAATGCAGTGAGGGAGGTAGGAAGAGAACCAGCTTCCAGGAGATGTGGTCAGGGTCAGTGGCTGCCAAGAAATCACCCGGGCTGAAGGCTAAGCCCAAAGCAGCAGATGGGCCCCTAGGGGCTCACGGGTGGCCGCTGACGAGCAAGATGCAGTGGGAGGCGGTGGGAGGCGAGGAGGTAAGAGTAGGTACTACTGCTTTTTCAACAAGCGTGGTGGCAGAGGGGGTGGAGGGTTTGACAAAAGGGGAAGGGAAAGATCTGGGGAAATGAGAGAGACGGAAGCAGGAGGAGCCAGTAGGAGAGAAAAAAGCCACAAGACCTCAGGGTCTCAGAGTGAGATTTCTGCAAAACAAAAACATATTTTTTTAAAAAGATTTTATTTATTTATTCATGAAAGACACAGAGAAAGAGAGAGGCAGAGACACAGGCAGAGGGAGAAGCAGGCTCCCTGCAGGGAGGCCGACGTGGGACTGGATCCCGGGTCTCCAGGATCAGGCCCTGGGCTGAAGGCGGCGCTAAACCACTGAGCCACCCGGGCTGCCCCAGAAACATATTCTTAAAATAAGTGGCCATTTCTGATCGTGGTAAATAAATACTCTTGGAGATGGCCTCAGGAGAGAATATTCGATGGATTTTAGGTTTCCTAGGCCTGTACAGAGTAGCTTTACTCAGTTTTTTGACAAGATGGTTTAGTGGTAATAAACTCTCACTCGCATTTTCCTCGATTTGTAATGATCAGTACCTGGAAAATTCTAAGTCTTTCTCAACATAAGCAAGTAAGGTTTAGCAAAGTAATCAGAGTTTGGTGAATTGTTACTACAGTAGAAACGGAGAACTTCAGAACCTGCTCGAATTTGTTTGACGATGGAATATATGCAACAACTAACTAAAGCCGACCCCACCCTCCCGGTAAGGTAATGATTATCTCTCCAAGGCATCCAATTAACAAATAAACTTTGTTCCCTACACCAGACAGATCCAGTCTGTAATCTGTAGATACCTCAACCTTCGATCTGAAAGGTTACACCAACAGAAATTATATTAAGAAAACCTCATGGTTGGGGCCCCTGGGTGGATGGCTCAGTGGATGAGCATCTGCCTTGGGCTCAGGGCATGATCCCAGGGTCCCGGGATCGAGTCCCACATCGGACTCCCCGCAGGGAGCCTGCTTCTCCTCTGCCTGTGTCTCTGCTTCTCTTTGTGTCTCATGAACAAATGAAACCTTAAAAAAAAAAAAAAAAAGGAAAGAAAGAAAACCTCATGGTTGCCAGAGGCAGGGAGTGGGAAACGGGTAAAATGGGTCAGTGTGGTCAAAATGTACAAATTTCCAGTTATAAAAAAAAAAAAAAAAAAAGTCACAGGGATGTAAAGTACAGCAGGGCAGCCACAGTTAATAATACTGTGTCACAGATCTAAAAGGTGCTAAGAGTAGATCTTGAAAGTTCTCATAAGAAGAAGAAAAAGGTTTTGCAACTATGTATGGTGACGGATGTTGAGGAGACTCACTGTGCGGATCATTTCACAATATCTACAAATATCAAAAAGGAAGGGGTGTCTGGCTGGTGCAGTTAAGTGTCTGACTCTTGATTGCAGCTCAAGTCATGATCCCAGGGTCATGAGATCAACCCCCTTGTGAGTGTCCCTGTCCCTCTCCCTCTGCTCCTCCCCCCATCACCTCTGCCACACTCACTCTGTCCCTAAAATAAATAAATAGGTCTTGAATATTAAAAAAAAAAAAAAAAAACAGAACACCCCCAGGGCTCTAAATACAAATCTGTGACTTTACTTAAAATGTGACTACATTAAAAAGTACCAATTGTTATAGGCTAGCTTCTATGTGATAAGACAAATCAGAGTGAAGGCTCGGAAATTAGGCATCTCTTTTTTTTTAATCTGTTGAAACTGTAAAACACACATAGGCATAAAAAAAAAAGAAGCAAACAACGTTAAGAGAGTGGTTGGTAAGAAAAAAAGAATTTACCAAAAAAAGTAAGTCTCCCAAGAAATAAAATCTACTTCTATAAAATTGTGGAATAATTTTACCTTGATTTTATCAATATAATTAAGTTCTCTGTGATTAAACACTTCATGGGCTCCATTCTGCAAGACAAGGTTTTGTCCTTCTTCGGTACCAGCCGTACCCAAAACTTTTAGGCCGTAAGCCCTGGCAATCTGGCACGCTGCTATTCCAACCTGAAAACCAAAATATAAAACCATAGTTTTAGATTCTTTGCATCCTTCCAAGTATTTATTAAATATAGGTAATACACTTAAGGTTCTCCTGGGTCCTACCCTATCCTTAAGGAATTTCAAGTCTAAATCAAGAAATAAGAACAACAATAGCTAACTTTTATTGAGCATTTATAATGTACCAGGTGCCACACCAAATACTTTCTATGCATTGCTTTATTTTATCCTCACAGTAAGCCTATAACATAGATATTATTATTGTCCATATTCCAGAGATGAGAAAACTGAGGCTGATAAAAATATAAGCTGCCGAGGTCAGAGAGATGGGAACGGGGCCAGATCACACAGGGCTGGATCAATTCGGTCTGTAGAGCTTGAGCTTTTAACCACTGTATCAAAATGTTTACTTAGCATCGGCTTTGTGCAGAAGGTGAGGGGTTTAAGGATAATCAAAACTCACTGAGTTCATACTTCAACTGTACACATAAAATACTAAATAACAAATGTGACAGCGTTTAAGTGGGAGAGATAGGTATACGAGCAAATCAATTTATCCATCCATATGATGACCATTTATTGAGTGTTTATTATGTGCTAGACACGGTACTTCACATAAGAAAATGCTACTCTAAGAGAAAAATAATAAACCCACAAACAAATAAATGAGTAAAGTAAATTCAGAAAATAAAAAGTGCTAGGAACAAACCCAGCCTATTGGGTTACAAGGAGACAGGGTTTGGTGACCGGGAAAGGCCACAGAGGAGACCGCGTGAAGAGAGGGACAAGTCACGCGAAGATCTCGACAGCCTGGTGGAGAACGTTGTAGGCAGAATGGTCAGGGCTCACCTGGTGACGTGGGAATGACCCTGGGGCATTAAAAGACAGAAAGACGGTCACCGTGGCTCTCGGCAGGGCTCTCGGCAGACGGTGCCAGATGCAGGCAGAGGGGCACCCAGGGCCTTGCAGGTAAAGGCTTTGGATTGTATTTAAGAGCTCTTCAGAACGGTGAGAGAGCTTCAGCAGGAGAGTCATACGATCCAATTTAGGCTTTAAGAAGGACACTAATTAGATGGGGGACAAAAATGGGAGGCAATGGGAGTAGGAGGGGCCTTCAACATAGACTGAATGTGAGAGGCGAGCAGAGAAAAATCAAGGATGTCTCCTGGGTCTCTGGCCAGGGTAACTGGGTAGATGAACAGGGCTGCAGATTAGAGGGTCAAGCTTGTGAGAGTACCAAGGATTTACTTTGAACGGGCTGGGCTGTATTTGCTCACTTAGGATGTGCGGTGATTAGGCGACTCTGCATATGGCCTGGGGAGAGTCCAGGGTTGGAAATATAAATTTGAGACTCGTCAGTTCATAGATGGCATTTAAAGCCCCGGACTGGATGAGGTCACTACATGAACGTGCTTAGGATCAGGGAGAAAGAAAAGCATATGAGGAATATAGAGAGGAGCGCGTGTTTGCATCGCCGACACCAGGGAGACACCAGGGAGTCGGTGTTCTGTGAACGGCCCCGGCAAGTGGCACGCGCAGGGCAGGGCTCCCCTCAAACTCGGCACTACCGACATCTGGGGCGGGACAACGCTGTTGTGGGGCTGCCCTGTGCTTTGGAGGATGCTCGGCGGCATGTCTGCTACCTACCCCTCACCCAGGGCAAGCAAAAACGTCCCCAGACGCTGCCCCAAGTGTCACGGGGAGAGGAGGGACGCCAGACCCCCCCTCACTGACAACCAATGATTCAGAAGAAGGGAAACTCGGTGCGGATCGGGCATGAGAGAAAAGAACCGAAGCGAAAACTATGATGAAAAACGGACTAAAACTGCAACAGCATCACAGACTCCCAGGCCTGAAATAGACTTTAAAGACTGTTCGGCATATGGGAGCCACGAGCCTGAACTCCGTTGGGTTTTGGCAGGGATTTGGTGGATTTAACCAAAACAACAAACAGACGCACGGAGCTCACGGTCTCATGACTCAGAGAGACGTTCAATTCCGTGGAAGGCAATATACTGGGGACGTCCTGATTTTTGCTACTTTAAATTTAAAAAAAAAAAAAAAAAAACTAAAACTAAAAACAGGCCTCTAATAAAACAATACCTGAAGACTTAGTGTAAATATACCTCCTTCTAAAAAAATAAAAATAAAATAAAATAAAATAAAATAAAATAAAAATAAATAAATATATCTCCTTCTGCTCCACTTTAAAGAGGCATTTAATAGCTATTTTGAAGGTGCTGTTTATGCTGTTCTTGTCAACAATTACACCAGCCACAGTACTTCGGATTATATATCATTACGCGTCAATCGTTTCTCTTCTATTGACTCTGCCGATACTAAAATGGGGCGCTCCCCACCAGCATATCTGGGTAACAGCTGTGTTCATAAATTCCACCCCATTTCAAATACACAACATAATCCCAAAGGAACTTGAATTAAATGAGGACAGAAAGTACAAAGAGAAGCAAGACAAAACCCAGTACTATTTCCCTCTGGTAGGGCAGGGAGGATCAGAAGCGCTGCTCACACCAGGCTGCCAGCCTATCCCTGCCAGCCAAGGATTTAACAAACTCAGCCAGCTCAGAGAACAGTGTGGATTTTGCCTTAAATAAAAAAAAAAAAAAAAAAAAAAAAATCATGGTGAAGTGACTGGGCTTTTTACGAGAGGGTAAATGGAATAAAAGGAGATTTTCTTTAGATTCTTCTCTCCCCTTCCTACTGAAACCTCTCCGTTTTATACAGAGCACCAGGTTAGCTCTCTGGAAGCCAAAACAATTTAAATAAATGCATGTTGGACAGATCCTCCTGTAGTTCTGGGTTACACTTAATTTAACCCCAAAATAGCCTCTTTGGTGAAGCTAAGCAATGGGAGTTTTGGATGAGGTATATCTGGATGCTTTCTCAAGCCCCCCAAAAGACAATCTTAGGCTTTTTAGTAAAAACTCTGATTCGTGAGATGGAGGCTAAGCGTGGAAGCTTGTGCTTCATCTAGTTCACGTAACAGAAACACAATGGGCTGAACGCTCTGTGTTACCTGGCCACCGTTAGAGGTAAATTTGCATTTTCAGGGTGACACTCCTCATTCCAGGAACAATGTGCCCTTTAACAGGTGACTTCTTTCAACGACTGTGGCATCACGATGCTCTGCGAGGGTTAACCGGCTCCCTCAAGGTGAGCCACCTCGCCCCAGGGCCTGTATTTTAAGAATGTTGAAATCTCATCTCCAAAATTTCTAAAGCCTCTACACGCAGGATAGAGGTCATGTGGATTTCTTGTTAAATTCCAACCTCAGAGCTCTGACTTTTCCTCTAAGCTCCTCGGAGGCAGAGTGACAGCCGGTTTCTTGAAGAAGCTTCTGACAGCCCTGGGTTGGGTTATTTCACTGAAGGGCTTATTTTAAAGTTCCTGGTCCTCTCCCACCCCAGCCCCCACGCCTCACATTAGCATTTTAAGCCATGGGTTGTGGCGTTAAGGACACAGCTGTACACTGTGCATTCCACGAATGTCATCAAAGCGCAGCAGGCCAGCCGTGGAAGGGGGTAGAAGGGGCTGAGAATTCACAGTGTGGCTTTGCAGTGCTGTCTGGGGCAACACAGGTAAAGCTTTAATGAGCCTTAGTTTCCTTATCTGAGGGAATATGGAATCATGTTAACTTTAAGAAACTGTTTAAAATTCCGAATAAATATTCTAACAACATATGCTACTTGAAGGCGAAAACAAAGCCAGTTTATTTTGGTCCACACCCAACACAGGTGGAAAACGTAATACATACATTTTTAATGGGGTCATCTGTTGAATCTATTAACCAAAAAATGCTAGACTAATGACAAGGAATTAGCTTCAGGACACAGCATTTAAAGAAGCTTTACTACAGAAGGGAATATATGTACCGACTACGAATATTGACTGTATTTCTTCATTTGGCTTTTAAAAATAACTTAAATATAACGTGAAACCCACAAACACAAGCTCATTTAAACGTGCCCTTAAAAACGACAACGACAAAAAAAAAATACTTACTCCTCCACTAGCCCCATGAACCAGAACACTTTCTCCGGCTTTCGCGCGGGCACTGCAAAAGAAGGCAGGGTTCATCGCCTTACTTTGAAGCTAATGAAGCTCAGGTGTTTTGTCATTCTCGAGGAAACTTCTACCCCCCTGGTTCGGCCATCACGTCCCCAAACAGGAAATGCACTCTGCTTTACAGCCCAAAATACTCTCCAAGATTCACAGGGTCAAACGAGGGTTCTTCGAAGCCACAGGCAGCAGAAGAAAACATTAAATTCGCTTGTTCACTCAACAAATGTTTAACAGGAACCTACTGGGTGTCGGGCACCGTGAGGGCTGCTGGTGGCCCATCATGGTGCTACCTTCCTTCTGGAAGGCTACAGTCTTTGGAGGGAAATAGGGTGAGAGAGCTCAAGCTAGAGGACCGGAGTCTCATGCATTCCCACAGAAAGGGTCTCAAAACAGGCTTATTGTCACCCCGTCTTTATTCTGTGACCCAGGGTGTTAGATGACGGAAGAAAACCTTTTTCCTTGGAACATGAGGCCGCGCAGCCTCTAAGCCCACATTTCAGAGAGCAAAGCTAAATCAGCAAGTGGTAAGAAATACGATAAGTCCTGTCACAGAGGTTTGCATGTCACACCAAGAAATGTCTAGATCCTCTGGAGAAACGACATCTTCTTTTGGCTTCTGGCTCATCCCACTACTTGTCCGTTATACCGAAAATAAGGCACGTGCAGCAAGACAGACGGGAGATGCCTTCTGAGTCCAGACGGACAAGTGCTAACGTCACAGGCCGGCAGGTGTCCTGTGATCCAGAGCTGACTCTCAGGGAGGATCTCTCGCTCCCCAGAACAATAGGGGAGGCCACGCTGCACAGACATTATGTTCAACCTGGGAGTAAGCACCCAATGTGACCCAGAGTCCTGCTCAAGGCGGTGCGCCGCCGACAGCTGACAAATGGCAATTACGAGCAGTAAACGGAGCTCTTGGCTACATTCTTGCTTAGAGATAAGGGGACTGAGGGCAGGGAGTTAAATGGAGGGTCTGAAATGGTAGACTAAGGTAACTATTACCAAAACTCTTTGGTGTTTTAAACAGTAAAATATAAATGTGAGGGAACAGGATTACTAACATCATTCTATGGGATTTGACCTACTTTCCCCAATGATGTTGCTTTTAAAAATCTTACCAACGACCCCTCCAACGCAAAGAGTGCCTTCTCCTAAACCACTGGGCCGGGGGTGGGTGGGGCGTAAACAAGCGAGCTAACCCTCCCCCGGATCCCACTGCTATGATCCTTCTACTCTTGCACAGTCATCGTGACACTTCATTTTATGTGTCAACTTGGGCATGGGGCCAGACAGCTGGTTAAACATTATTCTGGATGAATCTGGGAAGGGCCTTATCCAATTGGCTGGAGGCCTTAAAAGAACCAAAACTGACTTTTGGAATAAGAACGGATTCAGCTAGATGACCTTTGAACTTGAACTGCAACCCTTTCCTGACCTACAACAGCCAGCTTACCCTCTCAGGCTTTAAACTCCCCAAGCCTCCACATCCAGTAAGTCTCTCTCTCTCTCTCTCTCTCTCTCTCTCTCTCTCTGTGTGTGTGTCTATGTAAATAATACGTACATATGCACGCACACATTCTGCTGTTCTGTTCCCCTGGGCGGCCCCAATTAATACAGCCACGTCCCCCGGGGGCTCGCGGCAGGGGCTCAAGCCTTGGCCTGGCCTTCCGCGCTGCTGTGGCTGAAGCCACTGAGGGTTTTCTCTCCCACCCGAAGGCCAGCCCTAATCTAAAAGATTTCAATACTCCCTGGGACGGAAACCTTGAGCCCGATTCCTAAACTCTCCACTGTAGCCACTCTCTCCCAAGGCTGAACCTGGTAACCAGCCCCAACCACCCTACTTGAGAAGTATCGGACCCTAATACCTCCTGCTATGGCAGAGATCTCCCGTCCCAATCCTGTAAACCTACATTCTCTCAAAATCTCTTCTTCAACCTCCCAGAGATTGCGGCCTCTGGATGACTCAGATTCTGCCCACGTGTTGCTCCTGGCCCTGTTGCATCACTAGCCAGGGGGACCCTGCGGAGGTTGCCCCAACTCCTCTCTCTTCCTCTCTTGTGCTCTCATTTCCTTCTAGTCCATTCTGCTGCTAATTCTCCAGCCCTGGATTAATGTTAAAAACTAACTTCCTTGATAATCTATCCAAATGGCTAAGTACTAAAAAAAAGAAAAAAACTAAAAACTATAAAAAAGGAAAAAAAAAATCAAGTCACCAAGCATCTTGGTGCCACTTCAGTTCTGATTCTCAGATCACTTGGCCTCCTATTTAATTATGAAAAGTGAGGCGATCCCACGAGTTCCCTCAGCAGTCCACCTCCCTACCCACAAACCCTTCCACGATTATACCACCTTTACCTCTCCTAGGATTAGCAGACGAGCTGGCCCTTTGATACCAGAGGCCAATCTCTCCACACATGTCCTCAGTCCTTTCCATCCAGCCACCTGACACTCCACCATCTCTCCCAAACCTTCCATCGCTTCCTCTCTGCTGGATCTTTTCTCAGCCATAAACATGTTCAACTCCCGTCCAGCCTTCTGTCCCCACACTCTCAGGTACCCTTCTCCTCTCCCCTCCCTGACCACCTCCATTCCAGGAACCAAATTCTACCTCCTTGCTCAGTGGCTCAATCAAGCTTCTGTCCCACCACGCTACTGAAAGTGACCTGACTCAAGTCACCAGTCACCTATCAACGGCTAGGCCCGACTGTTTGTTTGTTTGTTTGTTTGTTTGTTTTTCCCAAACGCACCACATTGCTGCATCTGACAGCTAGCTTCCTCTCTTGGTAGCAACACCAACTACCACCCCTAACACTACCCACACCGCCGGAGTACTGACTCCGCGCCAGACTCTGTACTAAGCTTCACAGGTATTACCTCCCTGAGTCCTCACCACACCCCTAGGAGGTAGGTGCTACTAGTATTCACGTTTTTCTAACCAGTAAACTGCCGCTGAGACAGGGAAGTAACTGGACCACAGCCGTACAGCTGGTAGAAGAGAGCAGTGTAAGCCGAGTCTTCCTGTCTTCAAAGACCATGAACTTAACAGGTGTTTAACAGACACCGTGACCTCTCGACTCCCTTGGCCTTAACATGTGGCCTCTTAGCACTCTGTGCCCACCCTGACTATACCCTACATGCTGATGTTCTCTAGAGTTCTATCCTCGCTCCACTGTCTTCACTCCCTGGAGACTTCCAGTCACTTCCATCTTGTCAACTCCCACCCACAGGCTGATAGCCCCGTGTTGACATCTTTAGCCTCCAGGCTTCAGATTCATTCACCCAACAGGTTGCTGGTCTTCTCTGTCACGATGCCTATCTTGCTTTCCATGCCTAAACTGGACTAAGTTTCCCTGTGAAACTTCTTCCTTCTTCTTTGTCACAGTTAAACATAATCCAAACAAAAGAGCTAAAAGTATCCCTAAGTTCGTCTGCTCTCTCATTCTCCACATGCAGTCACCAAATAGACCTGATTTTACCCTCTAAGAGTTGTCTTTTTCCTTCCATCTTTTCTACCGTGACCCTTGCTCTGGCCCCTAAGTATTCTGCCTAAAGGATACTCGTATAAGACCCTCCCATCTCTTTCTCCATTCCTGTCATCAAATCCATCCTTCACACAGCTGGTAGGTGATCTTAATGAAACACCCATATAACAGTATCACTCTTCTGAATAAAACATTTCACGACCCCTAATCCCTGAAGGAACAGTGTGCGAGCTCTATCATCTTGCTTTTTACAACCTGAAACCTACTACCTATTTCGTGTGACAGCTAACGGTTGTTAAAAGATTACTATACTCCAACCTGATTCTGTGCCACTCTTTGCCTTGAAATCTTCTATCCAACAAAACCAGATTGCTATAATTCTCCTTAAATATCATGATTTTTTCCCCCTGACACCAGGATATTCCCATTGCCTAGAATTTCCTCTCCCCTCCAACGTATCCTTCCTTAAGATAACTCCCTGACTGAAATATAGATTCTCAGAGGGGCACCTGGCTGGCTCAGTTGGTGGAGCATGTGACTTTTGATTTTGGAGTTGTGAAGGAGCCCCACGTTGGGTGTAGAGATTACTTAAAAATAAAATGTCAAAAAAATACATATATATAGAGATAGATAAATAGATAGATAGATACAGATATATGGATCCTCAGATCCCAGCCGTGGTAGCTGACCAGTGGGTCTAAGGTAGGGCCCTACACTGTATTTCTAAATTGCCGCAATTAGTTTCTAGGGCTGGGTAATAAGATTTCTGAACCATGGCTTTAAAATAATCCAAGCTTTACATCTTGGCAGGAAGCCCTATCCCATCACCAGTTACCTCCCTTATGATCCCATAAACCCCTATGCGCATCCATACCACTGCACTTTCCATGTTATACATCAATATTATTACTCTTATGTCTCTCTTTTACTAGACTGTCAGCATCTTAAAGACAAAGACGGTGTTTTGCTCTTCTTTGTAGCCCCAGTGATTAAAATAATTTCCCAAATTAGCACAGTTTCTACTCCATAAATGCTTAATGGTAACTAAATGGTAACCAAATATGAGAGATGGATACGTGGACGAGAGGCAGGAAGGCACGTAATACTGGCTGTGTACCCGACCGTGTCTGTCATTACCTGTGGAGCAGAGCTCGGTACGCAGTAAAATACGGGATGCCGATGGCAGCTCCTTGTTTCAAGTCCAGTTTCTCCGGCAGTATGTACACAGTGTGATCTGAAGCAAGGGCATACTCAGCATAGCCCCCAGAGATGGTGGCGGTAGTGAAAACTCTGTCACCTTTCTGGGGAAAGCAATAAATTAATAAAATACCAGGGATTAAAAAGGATGTCAAATGGGTATAATCCTTTTATAATGCAACTTTTATAACAACAAATAAGTATGTATTATTTACTAGGTTGGAGGGTCTTATCGAAATAACTTCAGAATACTGAACATTTTTAAATGTTTTAGTAAGGGAAACCAAAAAGAAAACTTTAAGGAAATAGGGGAGAGAAAAAAGGAAAGAGAACCTCCAGAATGGTATAATGAGGAAACCATGGGGAGCTCACTGCACAAGACACTGTATCAGGTGTCTGACAAGTACTACCTAATTTGATCTTCTCCAGAGCCGATGAGATAAGTACTTCTCTTATCACCACTTTGGATTAATTCCACTATACACATGAGGAGATTGGGGGACAAAGAAGTTCAATAATTTGCTCAGATGAAGCAGTTAGTAAGCAGCAGTTAATACAATCATTTTTTTTTCTTCGAAATACTAGGAAAAAGAAACAAGTAAGATGTAAGGTTTCCTCCAAACACCAAATACCTGTCCTAAGTCCTTTCCATAGGTGCTTCACCCCTGCATTTGTTCCCTCATTTTTTATGCATACACCAAGAGCAGGAAACTATGCCCAGGTCCTGACAGCAAGATGAGCCAGGACAGGCTTCCTCCCTTGTTACAGTATGAGAAACACAGTAAACTCTCAGCAAACTCTGCTGGGCCCTTGCTATTGAAAAGGCAAGTGAAAGTGAAGGTGAGGTAAGGTGCTACACAAGCGTTCACACCTGCCCAGTATGACCTGCACACTAGGGATGTCAGACCATTTACTACAAACACCTGCCCGAGCATTTAAAAAAAAAAAAAGTAAACATTCTTTGGAATAAGCACAACACTAAGGCAGTAACTCTCAATCTACTTAAATTTGTCCTATAAAAAAAAGAAACAAAGAAAAAAGATTCAAAAGGCACCCAAGCAGTCAAAGACAAGCATCACTGCTTACCAGTGCCACTTGCAAATGGTCAAATATGACCATGTTATGATTAGTCCTGTTTTTAGGGCTTAAAAAGATGTCGCACAGATTGCAATATAATTCAAACGTGTTCTAAGAATTCACTATGGAAAGCAGTACTTGGGAGTTCTGGGATAGATAATAACAAAACATCTTCCGCCATCAAAACAACCTTAAAGTCTAGGAAGAGAGAAAAGGACAGGAATAACTACAATGCAAGCAAACATGATGAACCCACAAAGGCAAGTGCCAAAAAGAGAAAGGAATTGTTTCTAAGTTGAAGGAATCATAGCTTCGTTGAGGTGCTAAAATTTAAGGAAGGTCTTGGAGAATCCAACAAGATTTTGAAAACTAGGACTGAGATGAGTCTTGATGAGTGAGGAACACTCAAAACAAGTAAAGGGACAGTGGCAGGAATAAATGCTGAGAAAGTGCTAGCACTTGTGCCCAATGAGCAAGTAGTCCAATGCATGGAAGGTAATTGTTACAGAGGTACGAAGAAAAGGAACCAAGGCCGGGGATCCCTGGGTGGCTCAGTGGTTGAGCATCTGCCTTGGGCCCAGGGCATGATCCTGGAGACCCGGGATCAAGTCCCACGTCGGGCTCCCTGCATGGAGCCTGCTTCTCCCTCTGCCTGTGTCTCTGCCTCTCTCTCTGTGTGTGTCTCTCATAAAGAAAATCTTAAAAAAAAAAAAAAGAAAAAAGGAACCAAGGCCAGAGGGTAAAAGTCCCCGCACCTATGTTCATAAATTTCATTTTAATTCTGCCAAGCAGAAGAACCAATGTGAGCAAAGACAGAGAAGAGGAAGCAAGCATGTGGCGCGCGGGAAAGGACAGCTTTACCAACATACCGACCAAAAAGCGAGGGATGGAGCCGAGAATGGAAGGATGGCGGGAAGAGCAGGAAGGGAAGCACTCGGCGACCCTGACATCTACAAGGAACTAAGGCAGGCATTAGACTGTAGGACCACCACGACATTTTAGAAAACACCCCTTGTCGACCCAGGATAGATTCGGGGAGGAAGGAGGGCAGGTGTTAAGGATCCGCTACAGACCTCCAGGTAAGGACCTCATGGAGTAACCTGCCCTGGGCACAGACCGAGGAGAGGGAAACCCGTTCTCGCTAGGGAAAGCTGCAGGTGGGGGGGACTGAAGCCACAGGAGTCCCAGGGACAGTCGCACCAGGGAGGAGCAGATCTGATGTGACAAGAGATGAGCTCGGTTTTAGACGCACTGAGTAAGAGGGGACTGGGGTTGGCTGGGTGGCTCCAGGGCTCTCCCCGGCGACTTTCGCTGATGATGCCAATGATGCACAGCAGCACGGTCCAGGAGGGTGGCTGCGGAAACGGGCCTACTCGGCCTCTGAAGGGTCACTGGCATGACTGGGGAACCAACTTTCTTTATTTTGCTTTAGGTTCATGTGAATCTTAAATCGGCACATGTGGCAAGTGGCTACCTTGCTAGACAGCACAGGTCCACGGCCTCATAGAAAACTCTAAGCTAACGCCATCACGGGCGATCACGGAAACCTTGGGCAGGCATGAGCTCGTGGGGAAGAAGGTAGAGAACACAAAGAGCGAGGTCAAAGGAGGGACGGAGAACCGGAGAACAGTGGGCAACACTAGAACCTGAGGAGCCTCCCAAGAAGAAGATGCTTGAGAAACAACACCCGGGAGGAAGTGGGGAAGAGGATGGGAGAAAATGATGTCATAGAACCCGAAGGAAAAAAAAAAATCAAGAAAAAGTAAGTGGCTGAAAGTGTCAAATGTCACCAAGAAGTCAAGAGAGATAATGACATAAAAGGGCCCATTAACTCCAGCAATAGAGGCCATTAGTGACATGAGCAAGCAGCGCTTCAGGGGGGCGCTGGGGGCAGAAGCCAGGCGCCTGCGAGCAGTGTGAAGCTGCAGGAATCTGCCTCCTGGGCAGAGGCCATGGTAATCTTCTCTGTCTCAGTCCAATTTTGGTAAATGTGCTGCCAAAGTTGAGCAGGTCAAGGAATTAGGAGGAAAGATGCGAGAACATGAATATACTATCTATGTTTTAGATTTCTTTTGGTGTACAAAGAACAAAAGCCCCGATTAGAACACGTGCGTGGACTCAGTCACCTCGATCTGAGTCAGGGCTCTAAAAACGTACAGTTGACCTTGCATTTTTTTCATCTTCTACTTATTATTCAAAAGAATCGGCCCTCCCTCTATCTTGTGAAACTAGATTAATTAAAAACTAGATAATTATAAACAAGGAATTTATAGAAGGAATGAAACATTATGTTGGCTTGTGTATTACTGAGGGTCAGGAAACAGTATAACTTCCTTATTTTCTTTTCTTACGTTTTTCTGCTACATCGAAAGGACCCCACTTGAATTTCCGTGAGGATGTGAAGATACAGAATTTACACAGCGCTTGTCCCCAGCAAGGCAAACAAGGAAGACCTCTAGATAAAAGGCAATCTCTTTTTTGAATAGAGGAGTCCCCCAAGTGGCAGAAATTGTGTAACGGGGCCTTCCACTTTTTTTAAGTCTTTATTTAAATTCCAGTTAGTTAACACGCAGTACAGTATCGGTTCCAGGTGTACAATGCAGTGATTCGACACTTCTATGCAACACCCGGTGTGCATCCCAACGCGGGCACTCCTTCATCTGTAAGGGGGCCTTTTGAAGACTTACATACAGACACGTTTTAAAGCTACGTTAAAATATTTTAAGGAAAATATTAAGGCAAAATAGAAACAACTCAAAACGGAATACCTTGAAAGTAGATACATTCTCTCCAATAGCTTCTATTATCCCAGCCACGTCTGAACCCGGCGTGTAGGGTAAGAGTGGTTTTCTTCTGTAAGTACCAGACCGAATATATGTTTCCACGGGGTTTACACCACATGCGTGGACTTTGATCAGAACCTGCAAGGCCAATGTGCTTTTAGTTCACACAGAACACTCAGGCGTTCATCCAGCGTTAGGCCAGGGCTGTACTGATGATGGGAACTGTAAACCCGGAGGGGAAACCCTCACCTTCAAGGGACTCACATCACAGTTTTGCAAACCAACACAGACATAAAAAAGGTCAGACACAAAGGCCTACGGGCAACATAAAACATATTTTGGGAAAACAGTAGCAGAAATACTCGAGGGGACGCGTGGCACAACCTCTCCGTGCTCATCAAACCCTCTTCCTCCCGGGTACGCAGGAAGAACAGGATTTCTTGGCGCCCGCAGTTATGAGCAGCCAAATGACTGAGTTCTGGGCAATGGGATGTGAACAAAAGTGATCAGAGCCACTTTCAGGACTGGCCCATAAAGACGTCCTGGGCAATCCACACTGGGCCTCCCTCCCTTTCATAGGAGTGACGTCAGAAGACAGGCATCGAAGGTGGCAGAGCCACATGATGGAGGAAGGCTGGGTCCACAAATCACCCTGAGAATTTACGGAATGAGACATACTTTGCTATTGCCGAACCCTTGAGATTTTGAGGTTACATCTACCATAGCTGCTAATTTTACCGTAATTAACACATAATGACTGCTTCTGTTGCAGGAGTAAGAGAAGGCCTTGCAAGGGAAGTGGTATTTGAGGTAGGCACTAAGAGTAGACGTTCTTTCAGAATGGGAGGAAAGGGTATTTCAGGTAGAAGGAATAGCAGGTGCAAAGACAGAAGAAATAAAAGGGCCTCTTGGGGAAGCCAGATAATGCTGCTTGTTACAGCCCAGTCTACTGAGAAGCAGCAGTAAGAAATGAATCTCTCAAGCTAGGCTATGGCCAAATTGTAAAAACTCTCATAAGGTTCAAGGTTCGCTAAGGAAATGAGACTTGGGAGTCATGGAAGGCACAGTAATAAAAATACATAATTCTTAATGAGAAAGCATATTGTTAAAGTCACCGGAAATGATTAAACTCTTCATTTGAATTCTCTTAAGTCATACGTGGAAGGGCATGTATGCAGAAGAGAACGATTTTCCTACTGTGCACAAAATAGAAATCATGAAGTTTGTAATAGGATGACTTGTTCAAAACTACTTATGACCCCATGCAGAAAAATTCAATTACTGCACTGCACAGATGGTCCTCAACCTCGAAAATTTCCTTACAGCAAGATATTTTTTCCTTTTCATAGATCCACCTCACCGTTATAATTATGCTGTCTTTGTCAGAGCTTGCACGTATCATCAGTGTAAACTTTGTCCTAATTCAGTGTCTCTACGAATTACTGTGAGCCTGCTTCTTTTTTGAACATTAACCCGATATAATTATTGCCTGTTTTTATGTAATTATTTCCACCTGATGGTCTTTTGGAATTGGTACTGCAACATCCGACCGGAGTTTCAGCACTTCTGGTCCACCAAATTCAAAAACTCGAATCGCTCTCATCAACTTCCCTGCAGTCGCCATGGTGACCTAGACACCAAGAAAAAAAGAAAAAAAAGAAAAAGAAAAAAAGATTGGACTGTCATATGGTATCTAGCCTATTATCACTCTGTTTTTTTTTTTTTTATTTTCCCCTGGAGGGGGCAGATCAAAACAATTTTTCAAACAACAATTTAAATCATGAGCTTACACAGATCTCATTTCATGTTTAAGGACCTTTCATCTCACAAATCCTTCGGCTACAAAGCAAAATACTTCGTATTGCTTCCTGTAGGGATTCGGTGCCTTCCACAAGAGAATCAAACATGCAAACAAAAACATCTGGCTAGACATAGCATGATACGGTATCTTAGGCTCCTTTTTTGTGTAAGCTGGTGCTGCCGCAGAGCTTACAAATTTTAGGAGATCATGTTAAGTTTTATTAACATTAGATAAATAGACCTTCTGTTGGGTTACGAAATATTTCAAATATATAGAGAAATATAAATATAAATGAACACATTTACCTGCTTCCCTGCTTTAACAAATCTTAACATTTTGAAAACCTAGAATATTACAGACATAACTGAAGCCTTCTGTACCCATCGCCAAGCCCACTTCTGGCCCACCCTTTTAAGAGGTGGTTTTTACCATGAACCCAGTGCTCAACACCCCCAGGCATGATGTCGTATCACTACTCCAGGTATACACACACGACGTCAACAACATGCCCTATGGTGTTGCATGTTCTCAAACTTCATTTAGATTGGATCGTACTGTTCTTAATTCTGCAACACGCTTTTTCCTCTCTACATTAAATTTCTGAGATTGATCAATGGCGAAACACTTAGCTTTATGACGTTCGTTCATTTTAACAAAGGAGGAAACCATTAAGGACTAATGCTTTGGACACAATGTAAGGACACTGCTTTGTATGTGACCTTTTATAAATTATAAGGGTCATTTACAGCTAACCTTTTTGCCCTACCGCTGTTGTTATTATTTTTTCTATCACTGTTACTATTGACCTGAACACTTAGAAAAGGTAAAGAACATCTGAATATAAAAATAGCCAATTACGGAAACCTACCATACCTGCAGGGATATAATGAAAGGGTTTTGACTCTATCTCCACTATTTTGCATGCGTGTTATCACGATTTCTTGAAATTAGCCACATCAAATATTTAGTTGGGCTCTGTCACCACTCAGAACATCATTGTTAACTTCTGGAATAATAATAATTATTATTTTAAATATCTTATGTATTCATGAGACACACACACACAGAGAGAGAGAGAGAGAGAGAGAGAGAGAGAGGCAGAGACACAGGCAGAGGGAGACGCAGGCTCCATGCAGGAAGCCTGACATGGGACTCGATCCCGGGGTCTCCAGGATCAGGCCCCTGGGAAGAAGGCAGGCGCTAAACCGCTGAGCCACCGAGGTGTCCCAACTTCTGGAATAATTATATTCATCAAGCATGAGTTGGTGAAAGATGAAAAAGAGTCGCAGAAACTAGGACTTGAAAGAATTCAGACTTTTACTATACGGAAGCTCAACACAGGCTGCTCAGAACAGAGCTCGTGCCAACTATCAATGTCAATCCATGTACACGGGGTAATCGAAAGCATTTTGACGGTGTCACTAGTGGAAAGTTCTTGACAGAATGAATCGAGAGTTGCATCATTTTAAAACCCTTTAATTTTAAGAGCTGCCGTGTAGTACCTAGCCCAGAGGAGACCGCGAACTGTCCGTCGCTAGCAGGCCGTCTGGCAATGCTGTGTTCTGAACGGCAGACCCCAAACACGAGGGGGCAGAAACAGGTGGAGACCTAAACCTAAGGTCGCCTAGAGCGGCGGGGCGGTCCCTGAGGGGGACACCCGTGCAGCGCGAGGACCCCCAGGAAGCAGCTGGCTCCTGCCTCCGTGCCTCCCAGCCGTCTCGCCACCAGATTTCCATCTGGGTCTTCACTCGCGCTGGGTATTTCTCAAGACGAGAAAGTGCAAAGACAAAGAAACCCAAAACAAAAACAAAAAACCCACCACCAAGAACAACAAAACAAGGTTGCCCAGCTCAGAGTTTTCCCCTCTGGAAAAACAAGGACCTTGGGGGGGGGGGCAACCTCGATGAGCTTCTTCACCTGAAAATGGCTCGCACCCCGGTGGCTGAGCTAGAGACGCAGCAAGCACTGAGCCCAGCCAACGGGCTTGGAGCTCCTACGTATAGCACAGACCACTCCCCCTCGCCCATCTCTTTTCTCCTTTCCAATCTCTTATCCGTTAAAAGTACTCGATTCCATAATTCCATAATCACTTTTGATTTTAAATAACAATACTTACAGGACTCGGATTATAAACACAAGACCTTGGCCTTAAAGAAGTCAGTACGGAGAATCATCTAAACAAAGTGTTACTATCAAATGCTGGTTTTTATTCATTCAACGTGTTGGTTTTTGAACCTTAACTGTAAGCGAGGCACTGTGCTAACCCCAGAGAACACAAAGGGCAAACAGAAAATGTCCCAGCCCTCTCCCAGCTCCTGTTCACTGTGCTCTCATTCTTGCACCCAGCTACACAAGATCTGACGCTCCTGTTCCACTTCCCGACTATTTATTTCTTCCTACCATTTCTTTCTTTCATTTCTTGCATCTACCTTTTTACCAACAGACATGATTATTATCCCCAAAGAACTGCAGCAGTAGTAAAAGCAAAACTACCGTGAAATAGGATGTGTCAAAATTATCTAACACATACATTTCCCGCCCCCCACCCCTACATTTTGACATCTGCTAAGCTTCGAGAAAAGAACAAAGGAAGGAGGAAATTCTTCCTTAATACTGGATTTAGAAACCCTGCTGCCTTGCCTAGGAGTACCATCCTGTCCTACTGAGCTTGTAAGGACATTAGGCACACCCTTGACAGCGCTGCCTCCTACTTTGTCCGTATTATTTCCCATTGAGCCTTTGCCACTATGATCGATCAGGCTCCAATCTGCACAAGCTGCCTTTGAAAACCCCCTCCACTACCCACAGGATCATTACCTGCTTCGTAATACATAAGGTGATATGTCAAAGGGGATAATAAAAAGATTAAAATAATACAACACACTAATTATCATCCTTAAACCCCTAATACCCGGTTTCTTCTAAAAAGCACGTTTTTGGATTTTTATTTTTTAAAGATTTTACTTATTTATTCATGAGACACACACAGAGAGGCAGAGCCACAGGCAGAGGGAGAAGTAGGCTCCCTGCAGGGGGAGCCTGATGCGGGACTCGATCCCAGGACCCCCCCCCCCCAATCACGCCCTGAACCGAAGGCAGACGCTCAACCGCTGAGCCACCCAGGTGCTCTAAAAAGCACACTTTTATCTCCACTGGCATAATTATTTTCACGACAGGTAGAAAAGCAGCCATTTAATTGTATGTAGAAATGGAAATAAAATCACCATCCATTTTATGGATGAGAAAACATTCCAAGAGGTTAAGAGAATCACCGGGTGGCACAGAAGCAGAACTAGAACCCAAGCCCTCTATCTTAAATGCTGGTAGGAGATTTTTTTTTTCCCCTTAGCGTACAATCCTTTTCATGTCACCCTTTGAAATGTTGGCATAAAGGACCCTTCGCTTCTTAAAAATATACTTTCTAATGATGGTAGTGAGGCAGGCTGTGCTAGAAATACGAAATTCAACTAACCTGCAGGTAGGATCACCTATTATATGATTAAGGTATCTGCTCAGAGTGTGAGATTTTTCACATGCCTCTAAGTTAGGAGGATCCACTAGTGATACCCAGGACATGATCCTATTCGGAAAACTAATCATTTCCTGATCTGTAAAATGGGGCCAGTACTCCCTAGCATAGGATTCTTGTGAAGATGAACTGCAACAGCACAGGGGGGAGCTTCACAGCACGCCCAGCAGGCTATAAGCTCCATTATTCAGACTAAACCATTTGCATGTCAGCAGGCCCCTCACCTTGCAACTAGTGTTTTTAAATAGATTTTTTTGTATTTGTCAGACATGAACTTTAAATTAGAGGACCTGGTTTTTAAGTTTTGGTTGTACTTTTGACCTATAAAAAGTTGCCAAGCATACTTTGGAAATCTGGGAAACACAGGACTTAAGAATTCCTCCTTAAACTGTGATTGTTTCTAGGTTCTGTTTCAATCTGTTCGGTTTAAATAAAAACTAAGGGGATAAGGAAAATGTCGGAAATTGTACTTTAGCACAGAATGAAAAAAATCAAGTCACAAAGCCAGAGCAGGGCACTTAGGAGAGAAGAATGTTAAGTAAAATTAAATAAGAATTTCTGGCAAGACATGAAAAAATAAGAACTTGGAAAGAGAATCATCGTTACCAAATGTGCTGCTGTTGCTGAATGCCTCACTGTTAACCTTTTTTGTTGTTGTTTTTATTAGCCTTAAGCCAGAAATGCAAAACAACAGCAAAAAACAAAACTTAAAAGTAGTCTAAGAAAAGTGTTCCCGGCTGTGCGGCTGGTGAGGTCACTTGTCTGGGCTGGATCTCGGGGCCCACCCGAGAGGGGGTGGCGGGTGGCCGAGGAAGGGCTGGGCCGGTGGTTCTAGAGCCCTCCGGGGTCCTGGATGGACGGCGGGGGGGGAGGGGGGGGGAGGGGGGCTGGGCCTGCAGCGCCCCAGGAGCCCGGGGGGGGGGGGGGGGGGCTGGGCGCTGAGCACGCTCGGGGCGCCGGGGCCGCAGAGGGACCCGCACAGTCCGAGGTCCCTGCTCACCGGGGGCTCCGCGAACGCCCAGTGAACACCCAGCTATACCTTTACGCCCTGTTTTGTGATTTTTTTTTTCTTTGTAAATTATTCGGGGCGGGGGGGGGTAAGGGAGTCAAAGAAACTTTCTCTCCAAAATTAGGACCGCAGCTCGGAAGGCAGGGGAGCTCGGGAGCCCCGCGGACGCAGGAGCCCTAGAGGGGAACCCGGGGGAGGGAGACGGGGCTGGGCGCCAGGGGGGCGGGGTGCGCTCCGAGCTGGGCACTGGGGGGGGCGGGGCTGGGCGCCAGGGGGAGCGGGGTGCGCTCCGAGCTGGGCACGGGGGGGGGGGGCGCGGGGCTGGGCGCCAGGGGGAGCGGGGTGCGCTCCGAGCTGGGCACTGGGGGGGGGGCGCGGGGCTGGGCGCCAGGGGGAGCGGGGTGCGCTCCGAGCTGGGCACTGGGGGGGGGGGCGCGGGGCTGGGCGCCAGGGGGAGCGGGGTGCGCTCCGAGCTGGGCACTGGGGGGGGGCGCGGGGCTGGGCGCCAGGGGGGCGGGGTGCGCTCCGAGCTGGGCACTGGGGGGGGGGGGGCGCGGGGCTGGGCGCCAGGGGGAGCGGGGTGCGCTCCGAGCTGGGCACTGGGGGGCGCGAGGCTGGGCGCCAGGGGGAGCGGGGTGCGCTCCGAGCTGGGCACTGGGAGGGGGCGCGGGGCTGGGCGCCAGGGGGAGCGGGGTGCGCTCCGAGCTGGGCACTGGGGGGGGGGGCGCGGGGCTGGGCGCCAGGGGGAGCGGGGTGCGCTCCGAGCTGGGCACTGGGGGGGGGGGCGCGGGGCTGGGCGCCAGGGGGAGCGGGGTGCGCTCCGAGCTGGGCACTGGGGGGGGGCGCGGGGCTGGGCGCCAGGGGGGCGGGGTGCGCTCCGAGCTGGGCACTGGGGGGGGGGGGCGCGGGGCTGGGCGCCAGGGGGAGCGGGGTGCGCTCCGAGCTGGGCACTGGGGGGCGCGAGGCTGGGCGCCAGGGGGAGCGGGGTGCGCTCCGAGCTGGGCACTGGGAGGGGGCGCGGGGCTGGGCGCCAGGGGGAGCGGGGTGCGCTCCGAGCTGGGCACTGGGGGGGGGGCGCGGGGCTGGGCGCCAGGGGGAGCGGGGTGCGCTCCGAGCTGGGCACTGGGGGGGGGGGCGCGGGGCTGGGCGCCAGGGGGAGCGGGGTGCGCTCCGAGCTGGGCACTGGGGGGGGGCGCGGGGCTGGGCGCCAGGGGGGCGGGGTGCGCTCCGAGCTGGGCACTGGGGGGGGCGCGGGGCTGGGCGCCAGGGGGATCGGGGTGCGCTCCGAGCTGGGCACGGGGGTGAGGACGGGCGCCAGGAGGGGGAGCGGGAGCCTGGGGTGCGGGGTGCGCTCGGAGCGGGGCACTGGGGGAGGGCACCGGGCCATGTGCCAGGAGGAGGCGCGGGCGCCTGGGGGGGGCGAGGTGCGCTCGGACCTGAACACTGGGGTGGGGGAGCTGGAGGGGTCGCGGGGGCGGGCGCCTGGGGGGGTCGGGGTGCGCTCGGAGCTGAGCACGGGGGTGAGGACGGGCGCCAGGAGGGGGAGCGGGAGCCTGGGGTGCGGGGTGCGCTCGGAGCGGGGCACTGGGGGAGGGCACCGGGCCGTGTGCCAGGAGGAGGCGCGGGCGCCTGGGGGGGGCGAGGTGCGCTCGGACCTGAACACTGGGGTGGGGGAGCTGGAGGGGTCGCGGGGGCGGGCGCCTGGGGGGATCGGGGTGCGCTCGGAGCTGAGCACGGGGGTGAGGACGGGCGTCAGGAGGGGGAGCGGGAGCCTGGGGGGCGGGGTGCGCTCGGAGCTGGGCACTGCGGGGGGGGACCTGGATGGGTCGCGGGGGGCGGGCGTCTGGGGGTAGCAGGGGGCGCTCGGAGCCGGGCATTGGGGGCGGGCGCCCGGGGGTGGGGGTCCGGGCGGGTGCGCTGCCGAGGAGACGGCCGAGCCCGGGGCCCGGCGGCGGGAGCAGGGCGCCTCCCGGTGGAGGCCGGGCTGGGAGGGCCTGGCGGCCGAGCAGCCTGCAGCCCCGCGGGGGCGCCCCCGGCCGGCAGCTGTCGCGGGCTCCGCGGGACACACGCGGGGCGGGCGCGTGACCGCAGCCGCGCTCGGCTGCTCCGGGGACGCGCGCAGGGCGCCCCCGCGGCCTCCACGGACGGGGACGTCCGCGCGGCACTTACCGGCTCCGGGGCGAGCTCCCGCCGGAGGGGGGACGGGCCTGGGTACTTAACCGGCCGGCCCCGCCTCGCCCGCGCCTGCCCCGCCCCCGGGGGCCCGGCGCCGCCCGGGGCGCGCGCCGACGAGGAGGTTTGGCCTTCCCGGCCGCCGCCGCCGCAACATGGCGGCCCCCAGGGAGCGGCCAGGGCCGCGGTCCGCGCCGAGCCTCCGAGGCCTCCCCGGCACGGACCGCGCTGCAGAATTCGGGAGATGGAAGGCGCAGTGTCTGGGCCGAGCGGACCTCAGCCGGAAGGGCAGCGTGGACGAGGGTGCGGCGGGACTCGTGCAGCTGCTGAACGGGCGCGAGCAGTACTTCACCACCAGCTCCTGCGCCGGGCGCATCGTCCTCCTGGACGGGGTGAGGCCCTGCGTCCCGGCGGCGGCCCCGGGCTGTGCTCCGCGGGGTGCTCCGGGCGCCTAGGGTGCAGCCCAGAGGTGGAGCCGGGCCGGTGCCCTGGGGACCGAACGTGCCCGCCAACCCCGGTGCTGGCTCATAAGCCGGGGTGAGGCGGCCCCTGCGCCCGACCAGCCCCCGGGGGGCGGCGACGCCGCATGCCCGGGGCTTTGGGGGCTGCCCCGCGAGGCGAGGCGCCTTCCTCCGCCGTGGCGCCGCGACCCCCGAACGGCTGCCCCCGGGAGCCGGCTGGAGGCGGGGCTGCGGCCTGGGGCTTGGGGGCGGGGCCTGGGCTTGGTGGGGGCGGAGCCTGGGAGCTGGAGGCGGGGCTGCGGCCTGGGCCTTGGGGGCGGGGCCTGGGGTTGGGGGCGGAGCCGGGGGCTGGAGGCGGGGCTGCGGCCTGGGACTTGGGGGGCGGGGCCTGGGGTTGGGGGCGGAGCCTGGGGGCTGGAGGCGGGACTGCGGCCTGGGGCGGGGGCCTGGGCGTGGCCGGGGGCCGGGGGCGGGGCTGGGTGCTGGGCGGGGTCGGGGGCCGGGGTCGGGGCCGCGCTGCCCCCAGCGGCCGGCTCCGTTAGTGCGGCGCCGGTCACTTACCTGCGGCCGCTGGGCGCTGGGGTGGGTCTGAGCCGGCGGCCGGGCCCCCAGGCTTTGCAGGGACGCTGCTTGGACTCCAGGCTAACTGTGGGACTTCCTGGCTCTGTGGCTTCGGGAGGGTCACCTGAACTCGGCCCCCTCCCTGTTGCGTGGACTGGGATCGTAGACCATCAGCTTCCTCGGGATTGCCGGGTACCTGGAGGCGCTTGGCGTCCCCCGGCCGTGTCCAGTGCGCTGCGGAAGTCACCTGCGTGTCAGCGTTAGGTCAGATTCAGCGCAGAGCATGAAAACACAGCACGCTCATAAACTCGCGTTCAGATTTAGATCATTTGCTGCCCCCCCCCAGCTTAGCAGGGCCTGTGTATATATATTTATTTATTTATTTATTTATTTATTTATTTTGAATATATATTATTTTTTAAAATATATATATATTTTTAAGATTTATTTATTTATTCGTAGAGACACAGAGAGAGGGAGAGAGAGGCAGAGACACAGGCAGAGGGAGAAGCAAGCTCCATGCAGAGAGCCCGACGTGGGACTCTATCAGGCCCCGGGCTGCAGGCCTGTATATTTTTATATGGCCCCCGCTGCATCCTAAGCCGTGGCACTAGCTGGGCTTGCTCTCTGCCTCCCCCTATTTCTACTGCCTTATTTTACCTGGATTTCTGTAGTGTTTTCCTAAGGCCACTCACCTACCTTCTCTGCCCCAAACCATGCTACATGCTGTTAACAGATTCACCTCCTTAAAGACAACTCTGTGCATGTCACTTACCTGTGCTGAAATCCTTTATTACATCAGAAAATCCAAACCCCTACTCTGATAGACCTTCCAACCCTTCTGCTGCTCTCTTATTTCCTACTTCTCCATGTTTATCCAATTACCCACATATTACTTTTTCCTCTTGTATTTAACCTGCCTTTGCCCTTATTCATATTTACTTTTCCTGAAATGTTCCCTGCCCCCCATCTCTGTGTATTTGATGTGACTCCCAAAACTCTCTCATGGAAACACAGGCAGACAGGCCCACTTGTCACGACTGCTTCTTCTGAACTGCCTTAGGATTTTTTGAGAACCTCCTTTCATGTTATGTATATTATTTGTCTTCACTTAGCCTTATTTCAGAAAGGATTTGCATCAACTTACAGAAAAGCAATACAAGAAGAAAAATTGAAAGTGGGAGAATCTGGATGAAGGAAGTATGGATAAGATGAAGCTATAGACAGCATTAGTTCCCAGACAGGCCCTCTAGGTTCTATAAATTTGCTAGAGGTGGGTTAGCATCAGATCAGAACAGATCAGTGCTCTAACATTTAGAGCAGCCAGCATAAGGTCCAATAAACGTCACAGAGGTCATTCAATGAAAGCAAACCAGTTATTTAGGACCAGCACAGCTCTTCCCCTTTCCAGAGCTAGACAGCCAAATCTCCTGTGAACTCATTGTAAAAAATAGTTACTTTGTAAAAATATAGGGATTTAAGAATAAGTGTGCTCTCCTACATCCTGTTTCCAGCCTCCCTGAGGGTAGGATCTGTTTATCCCCAGAGTCTAATAGAACTTTACAAATAAACTTTTTTTTCCAGTTAATAAACAAAAGATATGATGTGAAGGTAATTGGCTTCTTGAAGCTTTGACTTTGCAGCCCTAGCTCTGCCCTTTGGGACTCTATATAGTCTGGCCCAGATATTACAAATGTATGCCTTTAGAGACTAGAGACATAGGGTGTGAACAGCTCACTTGTCAGTAAAAAGTAATAGGTCCTCTGTGGGATTGGGACAATGCCTTCTTACAAAGGGAATTCCATGGTTTTTTGTTTTTAAATATTGTACAAGCCAAGGGGCGCCTGGGTGGCTCATTCAGTGGAGCATGTGACTTGATTTTGGATGAGGTCATGATCTTAGGGTCGTGGAGCCTGCCTAAGATTCTCTTTCCATCTCCCTCTGCCCTGTCCACCTCCCTACCCAGCTCTCGTGCTCTCTCCTCTCTCAATCTCTCTCTCTCTCTCTCTCTCTCTCTCTCACACACACACACACACACACACACACAAATATATATATATGTATACATATACATATATATAATGCAAGCCAAATAAAACAGAGTGCAACTCAGGGCCGCTAGCATACAACCCCTTACAAGAATCCCTTTTCTCCTGACAAAATCACAACCATATTTCAGAAAATACTAAGTTCTCATACCTTAAACTATTTTCTTTCTATCTCAAGTAATATGGTTCATTTTTGTTTTGGGTTAACTTTACCCAAAGCCTAGTGAATTGTTCTCAGTAATACTTAAAATTACCACTAATTAATTTAAGAAAGCTTACAATCATGCCAAACATTGTATTTATTATTTGTATAAATATTACATGATTAAATTACATTTTTTTTTTTTTATATTTCAGGGTATAAATGGTTTTGAAGTTCAAAAGCAAAACTGTTGCTGGCTACTGGTTACACACAAACCTTGCGTAAAGGATGACGTGGTAAGTTTTTATGTGTAAACTTAGAAATAAACTTGTAACTCATAATCACATTAAATACATTTGAAAAGACTAAGACATTCAAGGTGGATTTATGTGCATGATTACAATGACTGAAGATTAGAAAGCCTGAAGAGAATTATTACAGTGTTTTTTTTTATTTATAGGAGATAAAATATAAATATGTATATAAGCATTACTTATTGCTTAAGAAAACACATCCTCTTGGACATAGGGAGTGCATGGATGTTGGACACATATATAGATGGAAGATTTGACTTTCATTTCGACCATTCGATAACTCTGTAACCTGGAACAAATTATACAAGGAGAAAGGAGTTAGGAGAAAGGGATTAGTATATCTATATATTGCCAGCATACTCATAGAAATAAATTATGCATTACTTACCTGGATTGCTTCTTGTAAATCTTCCTATCTGTCCTGGGTTATTTAGTTTCAGAAATTAAAATCTTGAAATGAGTTCATGTAAGTCTGTATCATTCAGGCACTTTACCTGTTCAGGTGCTCAAATGTCTTAGGGTACTCACTCACTCTTCATCTCCTTCTGTGGGGACTGGTTCTTTCTGTGTAGTTGCCCTTGTCCTCTTCTGCTGCAGACAGTCTTTGTGGCAGGAAAGATAGCTGCCAGCAGCCCCAGCAGAAAAAGACTTCTTGCTGATAGTCAGATATCATTCCCAGAGGAGGCTGAGTCATCCTGCGTGGGTGAGATGTCTTCCCCCTGAGATCAGTAATTTTTGCCAGTAGAGTGGAATACTGTCCTTCCTCAGACCCAGGCACTTGGCATGTCTGCTATTATGATAGCAGGAGTCATGAGTGATAGGGTCACGATTGGCAGTCCCACCGGAATCAAATGGTATGAAGAAGAGAGAGGATACTGCCCAAGGATACGAGGTGGACAGAAATAACAACCGCCTCGTATAAATTCTAACTCAGACATACATGTGTCTCAAACTTCAATCTAGTAACAGAGCATTTAAACAGAACTTTCATATCATATTCCTTTATTTATTTTTTTAAGTAGGCTTTATGCCCCACATGGGGCTTGAACTCACGACCTCAGGATCGAGAGTCACGTCCTCTAGAGAATGAGCGAGCCCGACGCCCTCAGACCGTATTCCTTAATGAAAATCTGTTATGGAGTTACATAGAGCAGTAGTTTACTTTTCAAGGTATGGCTGGAAAGAAAGACACAAGAGGTTTATGGGAGAACGAGAAATCAGGTCTTTGAAAAGAATAAGCAGATTAATCAGTTTTTGGAGAACGAGGACTGAGAAAGCAGAACGAAAAGTTATTGCAGAAGAAGGATGCTGGATGATTCTGAGTGTTTCTGGGAAAAACTGAAGTTGCATATGGTAAAGGGTCACCAATGAAAAGGATCGTATATTGGTGTCTGATACCAATATTTTTCATTTGTTTAGATTGCGGCTCTGAAGAAAGCAAATGGAGATGCCATTTTGAAATTTGAACCACTTGTTCTTCATGTGCAGTGTCGACAGTTGCAGGATGCACAGATTCTGGTAAAATTGTATGATTATACTTGAATTTAGTATGTGGGTAGACTTGATTCTAAGCTTTAAATCTACCAAAAAAAATAATGTGATATTAGTTTTTTAGTTGACTATTTTTTTAATTTAATTATAGGTTTGGGGTGACATATGTTTCTGCAATTTGTAGAGCTAACCAGTTTATCTGATTAGCCAGATTATCAGAATTTAACCAGTTCATTTTCTTACAGCATTCAGTGGCAGTAGATTCTGGTTTCAGGAACTCTGGCATAACCGTGGGAAAGAGAGGAAAGACTATGTTGGTAAGATAACTTTTGACAAAAAACAATTCTTTGGGCATGAAGTGATTCATACTATTGAATAACTTCATTAGACTCCTCTGCTTCTAATCTCTCCCTCCTCAAATCTTCTTGCCATTCCCTTGCTCAGAAATCTTCAGTACCTTACTCTTTGCTACAGACAAGAATACGGAGTTCTTAGATTTGCATTTGAGCTCTTATTTTATAGAATCCTCCTCTGCTTACTTTCAGCCTGATTCCTAAATAGTCAAGACTCCATTTAATAAGCACCATGATATAGTGGAAAGAATCATAGGCAGGGGGTCTAAAGTCCTCTACACGGATACTGGCTGCACCACAGCCATGCTGTATGAACTTGGGGAAGCTCCTTAGCCCCTCAGGTCTGACTTTTCTTGGCCATATCAGGAGTCTGGCAAACTACTGCGCGGGGGCCAAGTCCACCACGGAAGGTCAAATCCCACTACTCTCACTTGGTAAATTACTATCACAGGTTGCTTTTGTGCTACGGTGGTAAAACCGAGCAGTTGTGACAGATAACATATGGCCGCAAAGTCAGAAACATTTACTATCTATCCTTTTACAAAAAAAGTTTGCCAGCCCTGGACTAGATGATCTTTAAAGCCCTTTCTAAGCCTCCAGCTGAGTCCTTTCCTGGCCAAGTCAGCGCCTAGTGATTTTGCCCTGTTCTGATCCGTGGTATTTACTATTTGTAATGGTATATGTTCTTTGCTTTTGACCTATTTCAGGTTTTCGCTGATGCTAGCTCCCTCGACTTTTCCTATTTTCTATTTGTTTTTTAACAAATCGCTCATTCCCCGTATAGAGATGGCTTACAAAAGGAGACACCTACAAAAAAGCGTACCTAAATAGAAAGTCAAAGCACACAGTACTGGTTTGTGTCCATCTCCTTCCCCTACACTCCATCTGGTTGCCCAAGCAAGAAAGAACCGTTCGTTCGCTTTCCATTCCTTTGCCTTCTACATTCAGTTAGTTACACGTCCTGTCACATCTGCCTCTAACTTCCTAACGCCCAGCTCCACCTTTCCTCTCCCTCTGTCCCTGCCTCTACTTAAGCCATCATGGTCCCTCCCCTCGGTCTTTACAGTGGTCTCCGACTGGTCTTCGGGCTACCCATCCTCTCCTTAGGTGCCCCTAAGCCAACACTATCCGAATCCCCCTTTTAGAAAAGTCAGGGTCTCCCTTTATTTCCCCTGGTATTCAAGGCCTTACCCAAACTATTTTCCATTTACCTTATTCATGCTCATCTCCTGCTAGCATACTTATGCTCCAGCCAGAGAGGAAACTATTAGTTATTTCCCAAATGTATCATGTTCTTTCATGTCTCCGTGACTATAGGTAAGTCATTTTCTGGCTGGAATGTCCCCTGACCCCATTCTTACATCGCACTTAAAAAAATCCTAACTCAAATGCTATCTTTCCCATAAAGCCGAGGCAAGAGTCCCAACTAGTTGTTCCTCTTCCACAGTTCCTTAGCCCGGCATCGGTGTATATATGTACATGTACGTGTCTATCTCTTTCCTGGCGTAGGACCTATGTTGTGATTCTTTGTTCACTTGTTTATTTCCTGTTTTAAAATGTTGGCTCTTAAAGGCAGGGATCATATTATATCTATCTTGTGTCTTCCCACCTCTCATAGGGCCTAGAACCCTGTAGATGCTCAGTAAAAGTCCACTGAAAGAAGTTGTATCTCTCCTAATAGTTTTCATTGCTGGTTCTCAACCTGTTTGCACTGATTGGATTTACTTGGAACACATTGACTGTTTCAGGAACAGGTTCACTAAGATGAGCGACCCTAAAGCATGGAGAAAGCAGCCACGTCGTGAGATAGAACAGGCACGGCTTATTCTTACAGCCACACACTCTGCTCAGGCAGCAGTGAGTGGCTCTTCCGCAGCCAGTCCCCTTCGATTTTCCCTTGAAGCTTTTGTTGAGCTTGCATTTATTTCTTCTCTTTAACTAGTGTATTGAAGCTTTCTAGGCTTTAGTGAGACTGAAACTCAAACAGTGATGGGATTTTTGGATATTATCTGCTTCTCTGAAAGACAATGTGTAGAACGACTTTCTTAAGAAATAACTTCATGTGATGGGAAACCCTAATCTTCAGTTCCGCTGTGTCTAGCTAAAGGATATTAAAGCGTCAAATCCTGTAATAGAACCAAACTATGTTTAAACACAGCCCTGACTGGGACTTGTCTGTAGTTATCTTCAGTGCCTCTAGTACATAAGTGATCATATCTAAGTTGTTTGTTCCCTGTAGGCTGTCCGGAGCACCCATGGCTTAGAAGTTCCATTAAGCCATAAGGGAAAACTGATGGTGACCGAGGAATATATCGACTTCCTGTTAAAGGTAGCAAATCAAAAGATGGAGGAAAACAAGAAGAGGATTGAAAGGTATATTAATTGGATATTTCTTCTTACTCTTATCTCTCTAGGTCATCTTTGAAAATATCGATACACGCCGTCTTCAGCTTATACTCCCAACTGCTTTTGTATTTGTAGTCTTATCACAGATAATAAAAAAAAATGATCAAAGTAATAGATGAGAGTAGCCCAGACTGTAACGGGTACTACATGGCGTGTAAAGGGGAAGCGCCGTGGAGGATAGCGGGGACAGGACTGCCGGCAGCCGGCCTAAAGGGGAGAAACCTAATCCCTCCGGTAAGAGAGCCCAACGGCGGTGACAGGGACCGTAACCGATCAAGTTGAAGGCAGCCAGGAAGCGGTGCAGTCCCCCCTGGATGTGATCTACCGGGCAGTATCAAGGATCTCCTTTTGGGGAGAGCAACCTGGTTAATTTTAGCGTAATCAATATTTTACATATGCGGCTGGCTCGTACGGACTGGATCTAGAATTGCCGTAATTGTCCCAGGAGGAAGGATCGTGGCTCTCAATTCACATCTCTCTACTTCTCTTCTTCTTTAATTTTACCTCCTCTCACATTACTTTCTTTTCAACTTTTTCATAAAAATAAGAGTTTTTGACATAAAGAAGTGACTGTAGTGTTGCCTTTCTTATATGAAAGCGAGGCCAGCAATCTACCATCAGCAAGACGTGTGCCCCCGAGTTCTTCAAGGAGTAACGGCCGACGTGTTGTCATTTCCCCTTCTCCCCATCCCCTTGCCTACCTCACAACCAGTCAGTCACTGCCCAAGTAATTCTTAAATCGTTCTCTTCCCATCCGTACTTGTCACACTCTTTATTCCACACCTGCAATAGCCTTGTTACCTGTCTCATAATAGAAGGTTTCTAGCGTGTCTCTGCCACGCCATACTCTGTATCACCATCCGAATCCTGTCTGTAAAGTGCGGAGAAATCCTATTATTTAACTTGCCTGCTTAAAATCCTTTAATACCTACTTTTTTTTTTTTTTTTTTTTTTTTTTTTTTTTTTGAGGTAGCTAAGGCTATCAGCGCCAGTGGTAGCAGTATACGATGGTGGGAAGAGGTATACCACTTGGTGAATCAGGAAGCTGGTGACTGTAGGAGAAGCTTGTGTTGGGACGGCTCCCGTAGCTCTGTCTAGAACCCAGGGAGAAAGTGGTCTAAATGTGGTGTGTCTCACTCACACTGGAAAGGCAGGAATGGGAGACCCAAAGGTCTGATGTGACACTGTTGGTCCAAACACATTTAAAATCAATAGGCCTGGGAGTGTGTGGCCTTAGCTAGCTGGCTGTATATCTTTCCCTAATTCAGTCCATTACCACATAGTGGTTTTAGTTTTAGTTATTTAGAATAAATAATATTAAAGTGTTTACTGTGTGCAAGGGTGTTGAAGTTCATACGACTACAGGTCATCAGTACTGTTGTCTTCTGTAACACTAAAACTGAAATGGTCTGTTTGAATTGTTAATTGAACGAGTGTTGTTATGTAGGAAACTACATTGTTCATGATGAGTGCCAAAAACTGTCCTGAAGGCAGCTAAACTTTGACGTGGTCTTTGAATACTTTTAATAAATTTATTTTGATAAATTTAAAAAAAAAAAAAAAACTCAGTCAAACTCAGTTCTGCTCCACATTCAGGAGCAGAACTGAGTTTGACTCCAGCTTCCACCACAACTTACTCAACTCTCTTGATGGCACTTTTCTTCTCTTTAACTTGGGAGATGTACATATCTTAAATAACAACTTTAGTATACATTAAACAGCATCTACCTAATGACTGGCCCTATCCCTGTCACGTCATGGATTCTCAGGGTATTCTCAGGGTAGGGTAGCTCTTTTCCTCCTCTGTCGGCACATACAGAAAATAAACCTGTGATCACGTCGGTACCACCGTCCGGGCTCTCTTAACGGGGACCTCTCATTTCAACCACAGAATTCACAAAATTATTCAAGTGACTGTTTCTCAGTTCTTTCAACAATGGTACACATCTTCCATTCTAGATACATGGGAGAGACGTTAACTCATTATATACATTGGATTTCTTAGGGCATGAGAGCTTAATTTTCCAGTAGGAAGGACCCTGGTTGAAAACCGTTGTGGTGGGATCCCTGGGTGGCGCAGCGATTTGGCGCCTGCCTTTGGCCCGGGGCGCGATCCTGGAGACGCGGGATCGAATCCCACGTCGGGCTCCCGGTGCATGGAGCCTGCTTCTCCCTCTGCCTATGTCTCTGCCTCTCTCTCTCTCTCTCTCTGTGACTATCATAAATAAATAAAAATTAAAAAATAAATAAATAAATAAATAAACTAAATAAAATAAATAAAATAAATAAAATAAAATAAATAAAATAAATAAAATAAAATAAAATGAAAACCGCTGTGGGGTGACCTGGCTACAAGGTGCTTTGAGCAAACATTCTGAATGAAGTGACTATATCCAGTAAGTGCTGAGGAGCACCCAGCCGCTTCACCAGACTACAGAGTCTGAACTACATGTAGGTACTTACAGTAACATTCCACAAGTTGACTACATTTCTTAGACTGTATTCCAGTGAGGCTCTTAGACTGTATTCCAGTGAGGCTAAAATATAGGAAGTAACAAATCAGTTTCTCTGTTTCCTTACTTGAATTTCAACAAGATTATAAATATAGCCGAAGAGCAACTAACTATACACCTGGTGAAGTTAATTGAGCCACGTTCACTAACTATAAAATCAAATTATACTTTAAATCCATTGACTCAAAAATATGTTTTGAGATTATAGTGTGCATGCTGCTATCAAGAGAGCCATGCTCATCATATAAAATCAGGGAAAAATTAAAGAAGGGTAAAAAGTGTCTTAAGATACTGATTAGAAGATTACATGTGAATTCAGAAAGGGGGAACAAATTAGAAAGCTCCCCTGGGAACAGCTGTACTTTCAACCAAATGCAGAAAAAAAGTTACCCTTCTGATGTGGAAAAGTGAAAAAATAAACATTGGAGGTGATAAGTTCTGCAGTCAGACCTTGAGTACTAAAAATGGGTTCGTCATAGGACCAAAGTTTCACAATTCAAATAACTATGGTAGAATTTTTAACATTTTTTTTAATGATAGTCACAGAGAGAGAGAGAGAGAGAGAGAGGGGCAGAGACATAGGCAGAGGGAGAAGCAGACTCCATGCACCGGGAGCCCGACGTGGGATTCGATCCCAGGTCTCCAGGATCGTGCCCTGGGCCAAAGGCAGGCGCTAAACCGCTGCACCACCCAGGGATCCCCTATGGTAGAATTTTTAAAAGTCAAATCCTAATGAGTCACATTTCAGCAATAAGAAATGATCTAGGGGCAGCCTGGGTGGCTCAGGGGTTTAGCACCACCTTCAGCCCAGGGCATGATCCTGGAGACCCGGGATCAAGTCCCACGTCGGGCTCCCTGCATGGAGCCTGCTTCTCCCTGCCTGTGTCTCTGCCTCTCTCTCTCTCTCTCTCTCTCTCTCTCTCTCTCTCTCTCTCTCTCTTTGTCTCTCATGAATAAATAAATAAAATCTTTAAAAAAAATGAAATGATCTAGAAACATAAAAACCAGAGTTAAATGGTAAAATGTTCTTAATATAAAAAAGGTCTTGTTTCTGTAAAACAATTCCCAAAGCCACTTGTTAGTGGGAAGAGTAAAATAAATTTATATATAATGATTTCCAGGTAAAAAATACGAAAGTTTGGAGATCTATTTACCAATTATAAGAAGGAGGCTATCTTTGGACCTGTTAATAAGAGATCAGGACTGACTTGGGTCAGATGAAACCACACATTTGACTATGAGCAAAATGAAATTAGCCATGTTCTGTGGTTCTGTGTTCCTCTCTTCACTAACTTGTAGTAAGAAAATGCTAAGAGTAAAGGGGCTGAATCAACTGGCATATAATACTGTTGGTAAAGCAAATTGGACAGAAGAAGTAAATGAACCTGTTTCCAATGGTTGGTTGGTTTTTATTAAACTCTTCTTATTTTTTATGGTAAAATATATATGACATAAAATTGGCCATTTTAACCATATATTTCAATAGCATTATGTACACTCACATGTAATGCAGCCCCCACCATCGCCACTGTCCATCTTGAGAACCTTTTTGTCATCCAGACTCCCAGCCTCTGGCAACCACTATTCTATCTTCTGCTACTATGAAGTGGTCTGCTCTAGGTCCCTCAGGTAAGTGCAATCATACCATACTTGCCCTTTCGTGTCGGCGTATTTCACTTGTGTACCATCTTCAGAGTGTATCCATGCTGTAGCAAGTGTCACAATTCTTTTTAAGGCTAAATAATACTCCATTGTATTTATATACCACATTTTATTTATCTATTCACTCATCAATGGACATTTGGGATTTCTCCATCTTTAAGTCATTGTGACTAATGCTGCCATGAACATATGTGTACAAATGTCTGAGTCCTGCTTTCCATTCTTTTGGGCATATACCCAGAAGTGGAATTGCCAGGTCGTATGGTAGCTCTGTGTTTAATTCTTTGAAGGACTGCCATGTGGTTTTATATTCCCACCAGCAACGCACATGGGTCCCCTTTTCTCAGCACCTTTGCCAACGCTTGTTTCTTGGGTTTTTTTTGTTTTTTTTTTTTTTTTTTTTTTTTGAGGATTGCTATCCTGACAGGTGTGAGATGGTACCTCTGTGGTTCTGATTTGTGTTTCCTTGATGGTTCATGACATGGAGCATTTTTTCATACACCTGTGGGGAGGTATATGAAACTCTATCACTTTGCTGCTTTCCTTCCTGCTTGTGGTAGCTTCCTCCTTAGCTTCCTTCTGGATTCTCCTTATGATTCTGTCTCTTGGTTAATTATTGTTCTCTAAGGTACCGTTCCTTGGCCCATTGCTTCAGCTACCTCCCCACATAGCAATAGGTCTTCCAAATCTCTCTCAAGTCCTGAGCCTACATATCCAATAACTTTTTGAACATATCTAATTAGAATACTCATCAGCCTTTCCTGATTAGCTTTCTTGTCCTAGTCTCAACCCTATCTCCATTTCCTTGGTTCAGATTCTTATTGTCAGTATCGTTACAGTTTATATTCCTCAGTGCAAAACAGAAATATGAACCACATTGAATTACATTAATTGTATGTATATCCTTTTTATTCCTACTGCAGTGTGCTCACATTGAAAATAGGACTGACTTCTCCCTGCCACCAACCATACACATTCACGCTTTAAGTGTTTCTTGTCCCAAAACCTAACCTAGTGTCCAGCTCATAGTAGAGAACTAGTACTTGTTTATTGAATTAATAATAAACCATAAAGGGACTTAGAAGCTAACCCATTGAGTTGAGTTCCCCAAAGTCAATGACACTTTCTTATTTATCATTTTCTGAGTGGCTAGCATGAGAATAGTGCTTAATAAATAAATGTTCGCTACATTTGGTAACTGGCTTTTTCCATCAATAGTGCTACTTGCAAGGCTTCAAAGTAGATTATTCCGGAGGACGTGTAAGACGACTTTGAGATAAGAGCGAATGGGTGTAGGCTTTTGCGCCATAGTCCAGGTGAGAAGGAACAGGAACTTGAATAGCAAGATGAATGGGACTGATAGTGCAGAATGTAAACCGGACATGGGGACAGCCTGGAAATGGAGGTAGAAAGTAGGAGGGGGCAAGGATAACAGATGTCTTAGACTCCTCGTAGTCACTAGTCTTATTTTTAACAACGGAACTAAAGCAGGTAAATAATAAGTCACACATTTCCCTATGTATTTAAGATCAAAGAAATAAATAATATAAAGTGAAAACGCATACTTTATTTTTGTACAGTTCCCCTTGGATATTTAGTCCCCTCATTTTTTTCCTCTCCCCTACCTTGCCAGCTTCCGCCCATCATTGCAATTCAGCCCCAGCATTGGGTTGTTTTCCAAGGAGCATTTCATGATCTCACTGGAAGCAGGGTTCCCCCAGGGGGCGGGCCCCAACTTTGTCTGGTCTTTCTCAGGGCATGCTGAATGTGTCTTTACAGTTCTGCAGCTCCCATTAAATACTGAGCCTGAGGTCACGACCAGGTCTTTTACCTCTCTTTCCACCGCCTGGCACAGGCTCTGTCACATACCTGTTTTTTAATAAAAATGCTAGAGTTTAGTCAAGGTAAAATCTAAATACGTATATATGAAAATAGCCTTATTTGTTATTTGTGAATAATGGAAGCCTAAAAGGGTATTTAATTGTGCCTAGATCTCATTATTTTTATGTTCCTATTTCAGAAATCAGAGAAATATCATATATTATTGCAAGTGGTCCTCTAACTGACCTGAAAAACAAGAATTCATTTTCCTAGGGCTGCTCTAAAAAGTTCTGTCTGGAAGAGAATGAAGTACAAGTTGCCCTGGGGCATGATGCTCTTGACTGCAGAAGTAGAGAAACTGAAGACAATTTGATTTTCTTTGGGGTTGGGGAAGACCATTGCCTGTGCATACCTTTCTTTTTATATTCTGAGTTCTTTTTGTTGCCTGTGAGAGCTGAGAAAATCGCACTTTAAGAATTGGGCTTTAGAATTCATGGAGAGCATGTAATTGCAAAACAAATGTCTGACTTCTTGAGAAAGATAGTTTTGCAAAGAACCTTTTAAAAATTCCCTTTAAAAAGGACAAGGAAAAAGTATTTGAAGGAATTATTCTTGGCCTTCAGACAACAGGGTCTTTGTTCCATTTTACCAGTTGTTTTTGGGTACCCCAAAGATGTAGCTTTGAACTCTTAGGTTCTTTAGTGGAAGATTAAAGTAAGGCACCTATTCCTCTTTAATTACTTTTTTAATGTGATTGACAAAATACTTTACATGAGCTATTAATTCTCTGTGGTCATAAAAGAGCAATTTAATCTTTAATTTCCTAGGAATAAAGTATAATCCAGAAAAAAGACTTGGTTATCTGAGTCTAAAGTTCAGGGTTGGGAGGGGGACGGTAGGAAATGAAGTTGCACATCACAGATGGCCTCTTATGAGGTCAAATAGGGGCGCTTCACAGCATTTGATGGCATGAATTTTTGGACTTAGCTGTTTTACGTAAGTCATGCTACTGGGTCATTTTGTTGATACTCCAAACAGGCAGTGTGCAAGATGAAAGAAAGCCAGTCATTGACATCACCTGGGATGATGGTAGGATGATCTTTCTCTGGAGAGAAAGATCATGCCAAGTGTAGGGGTTTCCATGAATGTACGAGAATGAACAAAATATTGGTAGATGGCATGAGGGGCAGCTAAAGGAGTTCGGTCTGGCGAAGCCTTGGTGAGCCAGCTAAATTCTGACATCTCAACTCTGCATCAAGTGGGATACAGAAAAATAAGCATCTCCACTTGAGAGGAATGCAGAGCAGATGGTGTCTCTGTGGGGGAACCAGGTTTCAGTTAAGTGAGGATGGGGCGGTGTGCATTAAATTAAAAGGTTGTTACCACAGAACAGGATCTAAGAAGTCACCAATCAGTATTTTTCAAAGCCTTTTGCTGTGCCTCCTACTATTATGTTTATCCTCATATTGTTACTTCCCCCTTGAGATTCATTTATTCACCGAGAAAATGTCTGTTGAGCACCTAGTATGTGCCAAGCACGGTGCTGGGTATCAAGGTATACATGAGTGGTGAGTCCTTGAAATATGGACAGGATATGTTGTGATCAGGTCAGGTGTGCATTAGAATTGTGTGGAATATTTGGAAGCAGATGAATATCTTGGGGTTTTTTTTAGGGGAGTTTCAGAGTCTTTACAAGTAGAACTTAGCCTGGTTATTGAATTAAAGAAGAAAATTGGTCCAAACAGCAACCTATTCAGTAGGTGTCAAAAATTCTGTGACACTTTGCCATTATAATAGAATATACGGGCATGATGAGATCCTCACAGTGGCAAGGGAGGTCTCAGTGTCTGGATGACTAGGGGATCTAGGATATGATATCCATACTCACCTTTTTGTTCAGTGGTTATTTATTCACTTTTACCGAGTGTGTCAGCATTGTACTACTTGCTAAGGATATCTTTTTTTTTAAGTTTATTTTATGATAAAAGATGTTTTCAATAAATACTAAATTTGATAAAACAATGTATAAGTATAATAATTCTGTAAAAGTAAGTATGTGAGTACATGTATAAATACATTAATTCAGAATACATTGATAAATTAGAAAGAATAAAAATACTGAGAGGTTATTTCTCGGTAGTTCTGTAGAGGTAGTCCGTATTTGTAACCTCATATTTTTGCTGAATTCTCTAAAGTGAGATTTTATTACGTTTATGATTTTTTTTTTTATTTATGATAGTCACAGAGAGAGAGAGAGAGAGAGAGAGAGAGAGAGAGAGGCAGAGACACAGGCAGAGGGAGAAGCAGGCTCCATGCACCGGGAGCCCGACGTGGGATTCGATCCCAGGTCTCCAGGATCGCGCCCTGGGCCAAAGGCAGGCGCCAAACCGCTGCGCCACCCAGGGATCCCACGTTTATGATTTTTTATAAAGAAAAATAATTTCTCTATTTTTACCGTTTTGTTTGACTCCTACATCTGGAATAGAATTTGAGAGATAGATTACAGATTGTCAAGAGATGTTTCCAACCCAATTTTCATCAGTGTTCTCGAAGAACTGAAAACACATTTCCTTAAATGATCATATAAAAGCAAGAAGCATATTATTTCTCCAATTCAGTTGATATTTTAAGATTTATATGAAACACTATCAAATTTATATAATTTATAACCTCTGGATGTATTTCAGTCCTTCTGTTTGAAAACACAGATATGACAGTAGTACTTATCTCTCTGCAGGTTTTACAACTGCCTACAACATGCTTTGGAAAAAGAAACTATTACTAACTCACATGCAAACGAGAAAATCAAAGATAAAAATAATTCATCATATACTCATAAGAAGAAGAGAAACACAGAAGCAGCATGTGGCAAATGTATTACTGAAGAAAACGCTAAAGAATGTGAAAATGATGATGACCCAGGAATGAGTGTTACCATCTTCCCTGAAGATTACTAAGATTCGGTCTTGGTAGAATAATGTGTCTAATAGACATTACAGAGCTGCTCTTTATAAGAGTACTTTAGTTTCTTGAGTGTATGAGCCACTCAGAAAACCAAGATTTCTTCTCTCTGTATATTTTAGAGAAATCCTGAACTTTTAAAAGTGACTGTATAATATTTGCTCATTAGATACCATCTGTTTTAGTCACATAGAGATTCATTGCAAAAATAAAATGGACTTCTTAATGCCTCTCTCTTTTCAGTTTCAACTTCTACTTCTGCAAAACAAAATTGTAATACTCTTTCAAGGGAACCTTGACATTGGAAATGTTTGAGTAAAAATCATCACAACACTTAATTTCGTTTTTCACTTTGAAATCTCCAGCCTTTAAAAGGGGATGAGTTTGCTTTTTGTTGCCGTGACGTTCGGTAAGAAGACCTTCCCTTTTTTTTGACCTTGTGGAGAAAACAACTGATAACGCTTTTTGTTCAGGACAAAATACGTGAACCTTCTTTTCTCGTTATTTCTCACAAACCAGAGCTTGCCACTGGCACAGTCCCTGCCACACAGGTAGGCCTGGTATTTCACTAAGCCTGGTCAGAAATGGTGACTTAAGACCTGGGAATCTTTATAGCCTCCTTATATACTTTTTTGCAAAATTTCAAGGACTTGAGTTCTTAACAGCTGCATAGAAATTGGGAGGCAGGGGTGGTCCTTGAACAAATCACAGAATTTTCAAGGCCTTCCATTTCCTCTTCAGCATAATAGTTCTGATACCTGCTGTGTTGACATAACAGGAGTGCTGACAGCATCACGTTAAATAAAAATGAGAAAGTTACTAATAGACTTTTGCATATGTGTTACTGTTTCTCATTTTCATTATAAAATGATGCTTTCATACTGTGTTTTCAGAAAATATCAAATAAAAGAGAAATCACTAGTTGATCTCAGAACTAATAAATGCTAGGATAATATTACCAGAATGTCAGGACGCCTGGGTGGTTCAGTGGTTGAGCATCTGCCTTTGGCCCAGGGCGTGATCCTGGAGTCCTGGGATCGAATCCCACATCGGGCTCCTGGTGCATGGAGCCTGCTTCTCCCTCTGCCTGTGCCTCTGCCTCTCTCTCTCTCTCTCTCTCTCTCATGAACAAATAAATAAAATCTTAAAAAAAAATTACCAGAATGTCAAGAAAAAAATTACATAAGATAGTAAACATTGAGTTGTGATTTTGGCATTTCCTAATATTTTCACAATTTATCCAAGTTTTTATGTAGATCATGTTTAGATTGGCATTGCAGATGCTTGCCCTCTGACACACCATTTCACACTCCCATTTTTCAAATAGACGGACTTCAAAAATATCTTATCTCTAAATAAATTAATCCGGATGATGTCCAAGGAGTTTTAAAGTTACTGAGAGATTTTTCTTCCCTCCCTTTTTCTATCGCATCTCTGAACCGCTCTCTTTTAGGCCTTTATACTAAGATGCTGCTACTTTTCTAATCTCTATTAGCATCCCCACAACATTTAGGAAGCGTTCCAACACAACCTTCTCTTCCACATTCCAGAAAGAAGGTCCTTTGAGTTCTCAATCCCCTTGCTGCCCTGCAGCATTGGATGCTGTTAATCACCTTGCGCCCAGGGGCCTCCCAAATGATTTCTTCTAAATCATTTCCCTGATTATGGCAAATCCTTCTCAGTTCTTTTTCTCTCCAACCTTTTAACAGTTTTCAACATTTGTGCTTTAGAATCATCTTTAGAACTTTGGAAAAATACAGAAAGCATCTGAGACTCTCCGGAGAGGGACGGTAAGCATGTGTATTTTCTTTTTTTAAGCTACCAAGTTGTTCTCTCCTCGTAAACCAAAGGGCAACAACATGTGGGCACTCCCTTATTTCTGTCTTTGGTTTTCTTGCTTTCTCTCTTCGCCCCAGCCACCTCACCCATTGCAGCAGCTCTGGCCTCTGAGAACAAGAACTCCCACCTCCCGCCCAGCCCTGCCCGTCTGCTAAGTTCCAGCTACTACAGGGCTTCTGCAGTTCAGCTGTTACTCTCTAAATTTTCTCTGGTTACATGGTTTCCTGGTTTCTGGGCTAAAGAGGGCTTTTACCAGGACTAGTTTTGGGGGTTGGGTTTTGTTGTTTTGGTTTTGGTTTTTTTTGTTGTTGTTGTTTTTGTTTTAAAGTCTGAGCCCACTGGGATTTCTGGGTCCTGGCTTTTCCAGTCACCAATCAGGGGTATGTGAGGGCTGAAGAAACCCCAGAGAACTTACCACTGTGCTGTTCTTTAGGTCCCGGCATGCCTAGCAGGTCCACCTTCCCCTCTTCACCTTTCAGTCTTCTTATGTTTCTGTTATATATAATGTCCAGAGTTTTCAGTTACTCTTAGTAGACGGAATGGGAAAAAGTGTATCTACTCCATCTTCCGGGATTATTAAATCGTTGGTAATATCATCTTGTTGGGATATTATTGGCACCTTTGGAATTTATCCAGACAGCCACCCCTTTATTTAGTGCTGTGCCCCATCTCCCAGCTCATATGCTTTGCTGCTCTTGCTCTAGGTTTCTGGAGCCTCTCTATGAGAAAGAAAAAGCCTGGAAGTCTGTTTGCTATCCACCTCCCACCCTGCCACATACACACCCATTGTCTCATGGCCAATAATGACAAGTGCAGAGCTTCAAAAGGCAACTCTGTTGCCCAGACATGGGATAAACCTGGAGATGCAATTGCCTTTTAAGCTCCCAGCAGTGTCAGGCTGAGGCTGGGACTGCACCTGAATCCTATCATGTTTTTCCCATTTCCTAACCCGTTTCCCCTGGGAGCACCTGCTTGATAAATCCCTTGCACTAGAACGGTGTCTTCTGCAAGAACCTAACCTAAGACGGGTATTGCAATGACTTTGGATCTATTTTTTTTTTAAGTGATGGCATATTGTTTATTGTAAAGAGTTGATGTCTTACTATGTTAGAAATTATGTCATTGGTAGTGATTAAAGTTATATAATGTAAACAGGATGCAAATGTATGTTAAGCACATAGTTTTGAAAATTATTTTGGGGGGAGTATCTGACCAACAATTTTTGAAGATCACTTTTTCAAAAAAAAAATATTTACTTGAGAGAGAGAGCAAGAGGAGAGGCAGAAGGGGAGGAAGAAGAAAAGAATCTTAGACTCTGCGCTCAGTGCCGAGCCCGACACAGGGCAGGACTCCGTCTCACCACCCTGAGGCTGACCTGAGCTGAAACTAAGAGTCACACGCTTAACCGACTGGGCCACCCAGGCGCCCCAAGGATCGCCTCTATAATACATACTGTTGTAAGATCCTAGAGGCAGGAATAATTGATCCTAGGTGAGAGAGTACTAGAAATCCAATTCAAGAGGATGCCATTTTGCTTAGGTCTTAAATGTCAAGAATCGAGTTCAGCTGACTGAAAAAAAAAATCCAAGAAAAACTCTTGCAGACAGAAAGAAGGTGCAACGTAAGTGAGGCACCAAAGAGCATGGTATATTCAGTGATGGTGAATATTCCAGAAAAGCTGAAAGGCAATAATATATGGCATGAAACAAGTCAAGTTGGTTAAAGCCCAAATGTGAAGGGCCTTGCCATGGACATAGACCCGTGTCGCCTAACGCTACTGTGCGTTAGAAATGCCCAGACTAGCAGTGGCTGGGGGGCCGCTTTTTAGAACCCTGACTCCTAGACTTTGCTCGAGATCTTTCAAGCCAGAATCTTCAACATGGAGTCCAGGAATCTATTTTTTAAGCTCCTCCAAGTGATCATGACAAAATCAGCCCAAATCAGCCCAACGCTTTTTTGAATCCACTGGTAACAGACTTAATCCTGAAGGCACTAGAGAGAAATTAAAGGTTTTTTTAAGGAAAAAAAAATAACATGATCAGACGTTGCAATGTACCTATGTCACAGATTTTGTGTACATACATTACAGGAGGGTAAGCGGGAGGTTCCAATATATTGATTAAGTCACCGTCCTTATCCTTAGGTCTAGAGCCAGGAGGGATGACAACATGTACAGCTGTGCCATTGGAACTCTGTTCAGCTCCAGGCGGGGACATTCCCCACGGATGACAATATGAATGGCACCCCTTAAAGGTATGCAGTGCACATTCTTATGTACTAACATACACAGCAGTCCTGCCAAAAGGGAATTTGGACAGGAAAGAAGTCTTATGGTCTCAGAATGCCTGGAACATTTCTTCTAATCTAATGAATAAAATGTGGAAATACCTGCCAGTGGGTAGATGGAAAGAGAAGAGAAACAATAAAAAAATAAGCCCTAAAATAAGAACTGTAGGAAAAGGCGGCGGTGGGTGGGGTGGGGGGGTGGGGGGAGCGATGTGGAATGGGGAGGGGATCCCATGGTGCCTATGCATTCTGTTGTTTAAAAGTATTTCTGAAGAACCTATAATCCATTTGGTTTTCATAATCCTTCACTCATTTGAACTGAGCCCGTAGGGACTTATGTGTCCAAAACTTTTTATAAACTGAGTATATGCATGAGAATCAGGAAGAGAGGTGCTGCCTCCTAATCCCTTTATCTAAGGTAACAGAACTTGCCTGCACCTCTTAGATGAGTAGCGGAGGGAACCTGGGTGCCGGCCAATCAGCCCAAAAAAGACATCAAATCCCACTCGCTCCTTAGCATAGTGTATTGTTTTATATCCAACTCACAGGCCCGATCAAGAATATGAAGAACCACAGCAGGGAAATTAGTAAAAATTTAACATGCAAGATAACCTCTTGAGAATCACCCTGTGGTGTGACTTCCTTGTTGTTGATCCAAAGGAAATGAAGAGAATGCTTCTCTTCCTCCAGGATGGAGGCAGGCATTTTATTCCTAAGGCCTGGATTCATTTCTCCACGTCGTCTACACGTTGCCTAACTTTTTTGTTCTAAGAGAGAGAGAGAGAGAAAAAAAAAAGATTAAGTTTACTGAGAAACAGGAAGGGAAATTTATCTTATTTATTTATTTATTTATTTATTTATTTATTTATTTATTTATTTATTTATGGAAGGGAAATTTATTTTATTTTTCATTTTTTAACCCTTTATTTTATAATTTTTTAAAATAAATTTATTTTTTATTGGCGTTCAATTTACCAACATACAGAATAACACCCAGTGCTTTTGTTTTTGAAATTCTAGGCCAGAGGTCATAAATTAGTGATGTAGATATGGCCAAACAGAGGTGTTTTGGCCTACACAGAATATATTTTTTCCTGATTGAGCC